CCGTCAGCGCATTGACCGACGAGTGTCTTCGTGTTCTCAGATGTATCTCATCTGCGAACCAATCCAGCGTTTCGAGTACCAAGCAGTCCACCAGTTTACGGGATGCATCCTGGTCTCGCTTCGAGGATATCGGGTTCGGTGGTTCGATCGACTCTGACCCGGAAGATGAAGCCAAGGAAGCTGCTCCGCCGGCGACTGGAATGACTACAAAGAGTGGGCCTGCGGGAAGCTTGCAATCTGTTCCTCAATCTGGAGGAGGTGACCTTGGCCGTCCCACAACCCCCTCGTGGGCAGACTTCATGTCCTCCGGATTCGCGGATGAAAACGGGTTGAAGAACCACATGGGCCCTCTGCTCTTGCCTCCCGATAAGGTTCTACCTCCCATTGCCTCTGCGCGTGGCATGAGCTCCCAGTCGCACAAGCGCTCCTTGGATATCGAGCCGGCTCTCGAGCCTGCCGAGTTGGCAAGTATCACCACCCTAGACATGGACGACTCGTTCTGGTGGGTTTGGATCAGCAGTCTGTCGGGTGATGAGCCATCTGCCCGCAAGGCTGTGTTTGGTCGATGCGCGCTTTTGGAGACTAGAATTCGGGATACCAAATGGCTGATCCTTGAGGAGCAAATCAAGGGTGCTGCCCCAGAGCCTGAGGCCGGTGCTCAGATTGTCGAGAAGAAGCGATTCTTCAGCTTTGGTAGCCGTAAAGGAAAGCTCAGTCGCCGCAAGTCGTCGGCCAAGAATATGCCTAACATTGAAGACTCCTACAAGCGGCCCAATAACCAGGGAACGCACAGCAAGACCAGCATCGGACCGGATCAACACAAGCGGATCCAGGAAGCTGCGGCCGCTCTGCAAAAGAAGCACCGCGAGCAAGAAGCGGAGGCGAAAGAGAACCGCGCCACTCCCAATAACAACCGTTACTCCAAGACCAACTCCGTCATGACCCTTCAGCCTGCTATTGTGAATGAAGCCTCCCAGGCCATGAAGTGGACTAAGAACTACGACAAGGGTGCCTTCAGGGCGGCATATCTCAATGACGACCGCGCTGGCACTGGTCATCTTGAAGAACCCCAGGACGCCCCCGAGCCGATTTCGAAGGACCCCGAGGAGGGGCCTACCACGCCGTTGGCACCTCTTCCAACCAACTCTGCAAAGAGTGGTCCCCCGCCACTCCCCAAAGAAGCTGCTGCTGCTGCTGTTTCCACTCCTCTTCCCCCTTCTCCTAAGGAAGCGCCACCTAAACCTGTCAACAGAATCACTCCCGAAGATGAGAAGCCCATCACAAAGTCTGCCATTGTTGAACAACCTGCTGAGCGTCGAGACTCAGTGGACGAGGCGGCCAAGAAGCTGAAGAAGAAGACTGGCAATTCTGCCTTTAAGAGCATGTTTAGTGCCAAAAAGAAGCCCGAACAGCAACCGCTTCCCGTGAAGACGGCTGATGTCAAGGAAATCTCCAATGTGGCAGCTACTCGTGCGGCCCTCGAGGCCAAGGCGAGAGCAGCTCAGGAGTCTGGTCCCGTGAAGAAGAAGCCTGTCCCTCCCGCCGCCGCTGTCGCGGTTACGCCCGTGACTACTAAGCCGGAAAAGCGCTCATCGCCCGAGCGTGTCCACCCGACCGCTAAGGAACCTGCTGCCAAGCCCCCAAGCCCAACTCAATCCTCCGCCTCTCTGGAAGAGAACGGTGCGCCGCCCAAGACCAGACGCGCCATCGAGTATGATGCTCTCTCGCGTGTTGACACCAATGAACGCGACGCAGCAGATCAGGAGTTCTCCAAGTTCGACCAAGGCCCTCTGAGTGATCAGCCTGCTTTCGTCCCCGAGGATTCCCCCGTGGACGACCAATTTGCAGTACAGAAGACCGAGGTTCCCCAGACCCCGACTAATGGCAATGGTGTCCGCCCCGAGACCGCCACTTCGCCTGAATCAACCGAAGCTACACAGGATCGCTGGAAGGCGATCCGCGAGGCTGCTGCCCAGCGAAGTGCCGCTGCCAACGAGGAACAGGCGCACGAGCACGATACCGAGGCCAACACCCGGACTAGTCAGTCAGAGCGCACTGACGAGGGAGATACTAGTGGAGAAGAGAGTGAGTAGTAACTTCCATCCGCAAACCTGACCCCACACTAACAATTTGTTTTCACAGCCATCGAAGCCCGTGTCGCCCGCATCAAGGCCCGAGTGGCCGAGTTGACCGGCAACGTCGAGGATGGACAAAGACGCTAGTCTGTGACATCCCCATACCAATTTTCCTTTATTTTTCCAGATCATTCCCCCCTGGCTCTCTATTCGCTATGATCCAGGATGTATCTTTTGTTAATCGTATACCCTTCTCCCGACCAGACATTGGTCGTGTTTGCTTATTGAGCGCGGTCTGAAGACTGAACGAGGTCCCCATTTCCATAATCCGGACATGGACAGACCGACGAATACTGCGATACGATTGATGGATTCCTTTTTTTTTGGTTGCGACATCTGTTTATTTTTTTATTTTTTTTTCTTTCAAATCCCTCTTGACCTTTCTCCAGTCTCTGATCTTCGACTCAACAAATCTTTTCCTGTCTTGGGTTTATTACCTTTCCCATCAAATTTGGGCTGCTGTTTGCTTTTTTTTTTGTATGTTGCTCTATTCCCCTTTCGCTACTGCTATTGATTCTGGTTTCGCTACCCATATGAATCGCTTTGTGTCTTTGAATTGAAGTACTACCTATGCAATATGGACTCTTACTTATTTCAAGTATACAATCAAAACCAGAATAATATACTAATGGCAAACTTTGAATAACATGATCGTAAAATCACATTCTGTATTCTTCTTCCTTGCTTGGATCAAATCCTAACCCCTAATCTACAACCCCAAAGCCTTCAAAATCGCCTTCCCAACCCCAGTCGCCGATCCCGGATTCTGCCCGGTAATAATCGTCGATCCCGTGCCAGCCGCTTTGCCAACAACAACCATCTCCCCCCAAGGCTCCGCAGCCTTAACGTACTTCCCACCAGTAACCCGTCCAAGCTCCGTCTCCAACATAAACGGCATCGCAGCAGACAGATTCACGGCATCTTCCTCGTCATTCGAGAACCCGGTCACGCCCACGCCGGAGATGAGTGGCACACCAGAGGGTGCTGTTGCGTTGAGCAGGACGCAGGGACCGTGGCAGACGGCTGCGACGGGCTTGTTGGCGGCTGCGAAGCTTTGGATTAGAGCCAGAGAGGTGGGGTCTGTGGTTAGGTCGAACATTGCTGTACATAGGCATATGTAGTTAGTGGATGCGCCATTTGCAGAGACAGGATAGCCATAAGTATAGCTAGAAGGGAGGTAGGCAACTCACGTCCATGACCACCGACGTAGAAGAGAGCATCGAACTCGCCCGCGCGCGGAAGAACATCCGCTAGCTTCTGCGTGTTCGCCCAGAGGGCTTTTTGTTCTTTCAGGAATTTTTGCGAGACCTCGTCTGACTCGGAGGCCTTTACGGAGGATGGGTCGAGGGGCGCTTCGCCGCCGTTCGGCGAGGCGATTGTGAAGGAGACTTTGTCGTGGAGGACTTCGTAGGGGTGGGCGAATTCGGGCTTTAGGATTTGTTGTTAGTATAGGATTCATTTTGGGATTGGGTTAATGTAAGAATTGAGTGCGCCGGTGTTTAATTGAAGCTGTAATTGGGGTTGCGTACCAGATACCAGCCGGTTGGGTGACCGGTGTCGCCGAGCTTGTCGTGGGAGGTGAGGACGATGAGGACTTTGGGTGCCATTTTGGTGGTTCTTTGTGGGGATGTCGGTGAAACTGTAGAGATAATAGTAGGTTGATTGTGTTCAATGTTTTGTGTTTTATTCGAATTGAGGGCGAAGAATGGCTATGAGCTATTTTATATGCTTCCCTTCCGCTTGCGGCGATCAGCATCACCAGTGTCATCATCCCGTCACTAACTCCACAAGGTTAATTTGTGGATTATTCATCCTTGCCGGTCGATCCAATGGGATTTCTTACTGGACGCTCCATAGTACAGAAGAGAAGCTCCCAAGCTCGATTTATAAGATGATGTCATATTTATACTGGACACAAGTCCTGATAGAAAGCTTTCTATTCCAATTGATAGATTAATCCGGGTTCCAACTCGGGGATACTCAGAAAATACCTCGGGGATACCCTCATTTTCGCTTATAAACCAGCTAATTTTGAGTATCCCCGAGCTGGAAACCAGATTAATAGATAGCATGCGCATCTGCTAAAAGGTCACATGACTTCTATTTGCCCTTGAAACCCAATAACATATGAGCCGAAGTTAAAATACGTTATGTTTATAAAGTACAGACTGTGTACATCAATACACGCTAGTCACATCACGTGCGGAATCTCTTTTTTTATACCCCTTACCCCTCTTTTAGGGCATTCATACATCTTTTCATGTTCTCAGTACGGATGGATGATCGAGAGATCGGGGTTGATACTTTAGATATCGGGAACGGGACTGGTGGGGCTACCATATACCATATCTTGGATGGTTTGATTTGACCTCACACTCAACAACGACCTGCAAACTGTGGTGTAAATGATTCATTCGCTAAAATTCCATTTCAAATCCCCAGATTATTCCGTCGTTTCCCATTATATCCCTATTATATCCCATTCTATACCCACAAAAAAAAAAGGAAGAAGAAGAAGAAGAAGAAGAAGAAGAAGAAGAAGGAATCACCAGCTTCCATATCTTCATGACCGAAAACCCAAACCCCAGTATCGCAAGTATCGCTAGCATCAATCTCAGCCAAAAACCCTATGACGTCTTCCCCGGTGCTCTTTCATGTTATCCACACGGCCAAAGGCCTGATCACATTCCGGACACTTGACGGAACGATGTGTGACATGCTGTACTTTGATGTGGCGCATCAATGATGCAGGGCTGCTAAACGTCCCGTGGCGTGTACAGCCCATCCAACCACATGTGTGGCCATCCGATTCACTGGGAGAACAGGAAGACTGTTAACGATGAAGTGGGAACATGGGAACATGACTCACTCTTGTTGGTGGAGGTCACCATGAGCAGAAATTGCTTCCACGTCAACAACTTCAAAGTTGTTCTCGTTTGGTCGAGTTGTTGTCTCTGGGGTGGAGGGACTCGATGCCGAGGACTGGGTATGGCTTGACGTGCGACCGGGACTGAGATTGTCTTCGGTTCCCACCTCGGTGGTTCTGTACCGCATGGTCGAGGCAAACTGCATGTTGTGCTCGTTTGGTGGAGTTGTCGTCTCTTGAGGGGAGAGACTCGGCATCGAGGACTGCATCCGGACTGTGGTTTGACCAGGGCTGAGGTGGTCCTCAGTTCTCCCGGTGGCTCTATACTGCATGGTCGAGGAAGACCGTATGCTGCTCTGATATGAGTTATCCACTACGGGGTTACCTGTGGTGGCATGCATAGTCCAGTTTGGGTCAAGAGATGCGGCTGCATGGCTCATAGAAGGGCTGTAAAGAAGCCCATCCTTGGATCCAATAGATGCGGATGCATGGATCATAGAAGGACTGTAAACAGGCCAATCCTTGGGTTCATTAGATGCGGCTGCATGGATCATAGAAGGATTGTAAACAGGCCAATCCTTGGGCCCAATAAATGCGGCTGCATCGCTCATCCAAGGTTTGTAATGTGGCCAATCCTTGGGTTCATTAGATGCGGCTGCATGGTTCATAGAAGGACTGTAAAGAGCCCAATTCGTAGATAGTACAGGGGGATGTCCGACCGCAAAGGCAGGCGGTTGCATGGCAAAATTTCCAGGGTAATACTTGGGCTGCTCACTACTCTCATGAAGCAGTTGGCATAGCCTCAAGTGTTCTTCAAAATCTGGGGTGTACGCCATAATGAGTAGGGGGGAAAAATACTATGCAAGTGTATTTGAGACGCAGGAACTAGAAGTGAGATGGGTCCTTTAAATAGGAGATACTATGTCCAGTGGAGTTAGGCTGAGATGAGCCCCGATATGAGCCTCCGAAGAATCAATTCACAATTTGGCTAGCTCACCAATATGTTTGGCTAATCCACTTCTCAAAATGAGGCCGTGCAATGGGACTCACCGACATGGTTTGATGGATGCCCAAGGTGAGATCAACGGATGACCCCTGTTTCCTGCGTTCCAAGCTGCCTTACACGTGAGGGGAAAAGATTCAAGGAACAGGTCAAATCTTTCTAGAGGCCTAACAGCTTTGCTTTACACTTGCAAAGCCAAGTAAGGAGATAGGACACCCTAATTCCCTTTTTACGCCTTCTACCTATTTAGTATGTAGTATTTAGTATTTACTTGACTATTTGGGTTTATTGACTGCTTACATGTATATAGCGAAGATTAGAGTGAAGTACCCCCGACTTTACAGGATCCCCGATCTCTTACACCGACTTCTCTCTTCTCCGATTGGCAGCCTTGTTTCCCCGGGTTATCTTCCCTTTGCGTCTTTTTGAAACTTATCTTTCTCAATTGTTCCTTTTATTTATATTATTCTTCGGGTTTTTTTTCTTTAAATAGTACCGGGTTACCGACACCAGCTTGAACACAGCTAGTGACTGCTCATGTAGGAAACCCGGGAACTTCTATCTACCTTAACAAATTTGTGATATTCTAACGAAATTTATTTATAGTAGTGAGAAGATGACCTGCACTCTGTGCCCCAGTGTTCATATAAGAGACGGTTTAGACCTAAATTATCAAATCAACATTGCTGGTTTTACTCCGTAGTTTGTAAAGTATTGTTGGCGTTGTGGCCTAGCCTGATTGGGTGTAGCTTAAGGCTCAGCAAATCCAGGTCCAGGTTCCAATACGGAGAGCACATTAAACCAGCACATACGCTCTAGAGTATCAGTTAACATCGCCGCAGACTCCGAGACACATATTATTGTGATACTCGGCAACGTGTTAAAATCGGGTTATGTGGTGGCGCAGAGGGATCGGAGGGGAAACGCCACATTTGGACTTTTATTTAACATATAAAATACTACACGTGGTACCTGTCAAACACCATGTACATAACGGAGTATCCGTGGACGGAGTCGAGATATTGATCTAATCTTGATACCATATTCGTCACACCTCATCATGAAAGTATCTACATAGAACGCTGTAGAACGCCTGCGGGTTAAAACGCGACCTGGAAGGAATATCCTCAGGTAATCTGCCCATTTACAACATGCATACGCTAAACCTTCCAATGACAGCGCATGGTGGTACTCTTCTTATAAACGTAGTAAACACAAAGTAACTACGTGAACGGTAGGAGTTGGGTGGGGCCATGGGTGCTGGAGCGTAGACAAACCCAAAACGCAGATTCCCGCCAAGAAATTCGTGGCTGGGTTGTAATGCGCGCACGCCTATTGTTTTATAAAGGCGATGCCGCGTCAAAACACAAATTCAGCATATCGTCGCAAGGGGCTGAAGCCCATACTACAAGTAATTTCACTAACCTCTGGACCTAACGGTCGTGAGAGAACAAAGCAGAAGGGCCAAGAAGATCCGCCGTAAGTTAATATATGTAGATATTATGTATTATGTATGTGCATGCCAAACCAAAAAGAAAAAAATGACAAAAAAACTCCTTTTATGGAGACAGATGAAGGGCCCAGCTCACTGTACATGTAGACTCTCTCTATCAGTGTGTCCACAAACACAAAGTCCCAACCTTAGTCAGGACAAGGCTCGCATGCAATATACACCGGGTATCGAGCAAAAATCAATAACTATTCATCGCAATGGATCGTAATTTTGCAGCTTCCACAGCTCCCGCTCTGCACTGCCTGTGCTCATAGTATATACCGCAGTCGACGGGTAGCCTCAGCGGCCACAAGCGCACTTATTGCGCCGATGAAGAGACAGATGGAGATGGCGTTATATCTATCCTTGTCCAAGTTCATCCACGACTCTGAATTGTTATCAGATGTAGGCTCTGCGCTTGGTTCGAGGATACTGAAGACAATCCAGCTGATGAAGGTTCCGACGAATTGGGGTAGGGTCGTGTACACATTCAGCACGCCCAGGTAGATTCCGGCTAGTTCACCGGTTGACGGGATATTGGATGCGTGGTCCTCCTCGTCGGTGTCACTATCGGTGGAATCGTGGTGGTTCAGTCGGAGGACATCTAGCTCGGTGTCGGCGGCGTTGTTGCGCAGACTGGCTGAGGTGATCATCGTCACGCCGGATCGGGAGGATGGTATTGCGGGGGAATAGCCGCCCATTGTTAGTTTGTTGATTTCCACGCCCATGAAGGCGAATGGAGCCCAGCCGCTGATTGCCCAGGGAATACCGCATACTGCGACTAGGAAGGTTGCGAAGGCGCGGGAGTGTGCTAGAGGGGCGAAGATCATTGTGGCGGCGAACATGATGTGGGAGATCAGCCAGGCCGTTTGGAGGTCGGGTCGGATTGCGGTGATGGCTTTGAGAACTGCTGCTACCTTTGGTGGAGGTCGTGCGGTGAATCGCGTCCGCTTGGCATCGGGCTGCATGATACAAAAGGGTAGGAGTACAGAGCTGAGGACTGTGATAGATGAGAAGACTGTTAATGAAAGACTGCCCACACGGCCGACTTCACCAAGCATGTCTGTCGCTTTGGCCATATCGTCTTTTGGTACTTCGTAACGGAAGTAGGTTTCGCCAACCCAGGTTGTGCTGTAGAAGAGGAAGGGGAACCAGCCTAATTAATGTTAGCGTTGTTGATCTCTCGCTGGGTGTGGAATTTCCCATACCAATCCAAGCCCAAAATTGGGCCCAGCAAATTGCTTGGATACGAGGTGGCAATTCGAAAGTAGTTTTGAACAGCTGAGAGAGGACCTGGATAGCACCAGCACTTCCATCATCCCTGTTATCACAAAATATTAGTTGATGGCAAGAAGTTTCGGTTCAAGTTCAACCTACCTTGCCGATATCAAAACTCGCTCTTTTACCGAGTATGAGGTGATTGCCACTGCCACCATCAATGACAAAGCAGCAATCACTGTCATCTGCTTGAACTGCGTATCTCCAAGGAAAGTACCAAAAATGCTAACGGTATCGATAGCACCAACCACATAAGCAAAGAGCTGGCCAATGGCGGACATTCTCCCGGCTATGTTGTACAAAAAAAGGTCAGTGGCGTTTTAGGCTGAGACATATGGGGAAGGGCCATACCCCATGCGGATCCAGCTTGTTGCGATGGAATCGGTAGCGTATCCACAATCAGACCGCGACAGCACGCTTGCACTAAGACATTGTAAGCCATCTTCAATTAAGTTGCGGATAAGTCTGCCACTTACCAACGTTGATGGAAAAATCCACTGCATAGATACTCACTACAGCCAGGGCAATTGTGCCATTTTTGGCCTGCAGAAAATCAATGTTAGCTTTCGCATATCCATAGACCTAGGAAGCAGAGTGTTCCAGTAAGGATATGTACCTTTTCCGGATCTTTAACAAATAAACCAACAATCTCTCTTGTCCACCCCAAGACAAGCAGACAAAAAGCGACAACAAGCGATCCAAAGACCATGAAAGGTCTACGTCGACCCCATTTCGATCGTGATCGATCGGCAATAACTCCAATAAGAGGCTGGATAATCAACCCAGACAATGGGCCAGCAATCCACACCAACGAAGTCTTAGACTTCGTCAAACCGAGTTGAAGAAGGTAAGGTGTACAATCTAACAAGAAAACCACGTCAGCGATCATATCCTAAATCAGCCCCAATGGAGACTATTTGGAATGTGGATAGGTCTTACAGGTCATCTCAGTACCCCACGTGAACCTATTCCCAAGGAAAACACAAAGTCAGCCACAGACACAACCCAACCATCCATGGCCTCAAAAAACAGCACAGGCGAGACAATGTCGCGCAGTATCTAACCCGCTATATCCGACAAAACAAAACAGAAGGGGCAATACGCACTGCAATCCCACCAAACTAAACGTCAAAAGCGCCATCCTGGTGGACTCATTCCGGCCCTTGATGGAGGGCGTCCCCGCCCACCTCGCAGCCTGCGGCATCCTAATTATCCACGTGCTATCATACACTCAGTTTCCCGCACTCGCGCTCATGAACCAAACCCAAAACTCGAAGGTGGCTAGTGGCCTAGCCAGTGACCGAATCAAGTCGAAAGTCGAAAACACCCGTTGAGAAGAGAGGCGCAATTCAGAATCGAAGTAACAAAGTATGTGATCTAGGAAGGTCGGGGATGCGTTCCGGGGGATTGGGAAAGGGGCCGGAAGGTGTCTAATCCTTCGGGGAATTGAGTCGCGTGCTCTTTTAGTGCTGTCGGCGGAGCTCGCGGGGGGCCGAAACGGTGTACGGTACGTCCGAAATTCGTCGTTTGTTGACGGCGCGGATTGGGAGGAGGGTGGCTGGGTTGCGCCGGAGGTATCGATGGATGCCTATGCAGTTGTCGAAAATCGTCTATGGGAATTATAAGAGAAACGAGACCCTTTGTCACAGTTGAAGAAGGAGAGAAAATCCGCGTTGGCCTGAGCGCCTCTATGCGGGCCCCCGACCTTATCGATTCATTTAATTTACGAGATACCCGCCAGCCCTGGAACCCTTGTGCCGATCCCGGCTTTTCGCATGTCAGGGTCAGCTATGCTGGGGCTTTTATTCGTCTGTGTACGGGATCTAGTTTCCCACTCTAAATGCATTAGGTTTCTAGTATTTCGTACTTCCATGTTTGTTTGCAGCCAGCGACCTCAGCCTTATGTCAGCATCATGGTGGACCTTTGGTGATTGGCCACGTGTGATAACGTAATCAAGGGCCCTGAGCCAATTATAGAAACACAGGGGGTTTGTACAAAGGAGACACGGGACATGATGTACGAGTACGTGCACTCGCAAACTTCGTATAGGGGCTCTGATTCGGGACTTACCTGATTAGGGAAGTACCTTTGCTCGAGGGGCTTTTTTTTTTTTTTTACTCCGTACATATTACCATAGCAACTAGGTGGATGACAGCTGATTATTTTACTCTCATGTCTAGAGGGACAATATCCACCAAAAAAAAATAAACAAAATAAGGGCGTAAATATCTTTCATTGCGTGCGTCGCATCCAATCCTAATTTTGAATTGGTCTCGAAAACCTAAGTATCACAGTATGACGCGACTCCTGCCTGCCGGCCAATCAACCAGAGTCAGAAAATAGAGATTTTAATTCCTTTGTATCCCGAATCCGCTTCCCATAATCATCGTAAACAGCTATACTCCGAAAACCTACAGCCGGTTAGGGGCCGAGGTAGTGACGGGCCACTGGTAGCCAGCGGCATCGCTGAACTTGTAGCCGTATGAAGCAGTGAAGTCATCAAGGACGGCGGGTCCACGGGAGCCTAGATATAAATTAGCTATATGTTATGGTTGGAGAATGGAAAAAGCGGGGTAAACTCACCGTAGGGGTACTCCATGGGGATGATCTCCTTGTTATCATCCAAGTAGTGCAGGAGGGGAGTGAAGATGCGCCAGCTGGCATCCAACTCGTCGTCACGGACGAAGTTGGAGTGGTCGCCCTTGAAGGCATCCAAGATCAGGGACTCGTAAGCCTCGGGGATCTTGAGGTCGGAGAAGCGGCGGCGGTAGGTCAAGTCCAGCTCGGTAACCACCGTCTGCATGGAGAGACCGGGCAGCTTGGAGTTCATTTTGATGTAGACGGACTCGTTCGGCTGAACACGGATGACAAGCTCGTTACGGGGAATGTCCTTGAAGATACCGGAAGTGACATCCTTGAACTGGATGCGAACCTCGGTCTTCTGCTCATTCAGGGCCTTTCCGGCCTTGAGGATGAAGGGAACGCCGTCCCAACGCTCGTTCTTAATGTATGCAACCATGGCGCAGAAAGTCGGGCAACGCGACTCCTTGGGCACAGTATCGTCCTCCAGGTAACCTGGCTTGCTGCCGTCGAGGGAGCGGCCGTACTGGCCAATGATGACATTCTTGGGCTCAATAGCATCCATAGCGCGGAGAACACGGACCTTCTCGTCACGGATATCCTCAGAAGAGAAGGAAATGGGGCGCTCCATGGCGAGCAATGTGAGAACCTGCAGAAGGTCTATAGAATTGTTAGCCTTTTTTTGCTACGTCTAGTCAGTGCGGTTGAATATACTTACGGTTCTGCATAACGTCACGGATAATACCGAACTCATCGAAGTAGCCACCACGGCCCTCAGTGCCGAAAGGCTCCTTGAATGTAATCTGCAGCGGATATTAGGACCTGAATTCCGAAACAGGATCGCTTTTTCACATACCTGAATGTTATCGATGTGGCGGCGGTTCCATGTGGCGTTGAAGAACTCGTTGCCGAATCGCAGAATTAGGATGTTCTTGACCATCTCCTTACCGAGGTAGTGATCGATACGGAAGATCTCATCCTCCTTCCAGTTGGGCTCCAAAGCCTTCTGGAGGTCGCGGGAGCTCTGAAGATCCTTACCGAAGGGCTTCTCGACCTATTAAAAAGAATAGGTGTATCAATATGAGATTCATTATTGGGCCAGGCTGTCCAGAGAAACTCACAATAATGCGAGCGAGACCGCTCTTGGGGTAGCAGTTGCGCTTCAGCTGCTCGGACACAGTGGTGAAGACACTGGGAGGCAGTGCCATGTAGAACACGCGGTTCTGCTCCTTCGATTGGCGGTTGTTCTCGATCTCCTCGAGGTGCTTGTTCAGGTTGATGAACGAATCATCTTGATCATATTGGCCGGAAACGTAGGTGCACATCTTGCAGAACTGATCTAATTGATCTTCAATCTCCTTTGTGGGGACCTTGATGTACGAGCGAACGCGCTTGAGGTATTCGTCGGTGTCCATCTTTGTCCGTGCATATCCGACGATCCGAATGTCCTTGGGAAGGAATTTGTTGCGGAACTATAGCAAAATTATCAGTGGGAAGAACTAGAGTAGTTAGTGGAATTAGCACATACAAGGCCAAAGAGTGCAGGGAACTATAAATTGGTTAGTACGTTAAAGAGTCATCATATCCAAGAGGGGCACGAACGGTCTTCTTCTTCGCCAGGTCACCAGATGCGCCTAGTACCACGATGATAGTATCATCTTTGAGTTCGATAGTGCTAAATGCGATATCCATTGTTAGTGTTTGGTTTAATTGACTGAGTAAGATTTTTGCATTTGACGCGGCAATTGAGGGGTTGAGTGGGGGAGCTCTCCGAGCAGAGATGGCCTGCGGAAGCGTTCAAGGAAGGGATTGAGTATTATCGGAATGAAGGCAATAACTCCAAAATAGTACAATTTTGGGGATAAGGTGAGGTTGAATTGAGCTGGAGACAGCGGGTGTGCTTCCGCAACCGGGGGGGGTGGGAGTGATGTCAGAGACGCAGGAGGGGAAACTCACCCAGCACCCTGACGGTCATCGGTCTGGTTGATCACACTAGACATCTTGCACCAACCGCTTAATACACAAAATGAAGATGAAGAAGAGTTGAGGAAGTTTGGAAAAAGGGAAAAAGAAGAAGAAGAATGTTGAGAAACTCCAACAGGACCCGGCGGAGTACTTCTTAACGGAAGTTCACAGCTTCGGCTGGTGGGGCTTCTGGGTATTGTATTTTATGACTTCAGGTATTTATCACCTTTTGGGTGTTTTTGATAAATTCTTTTTTTTTTATATATTATTTTCGTACTTATACATAAGACTATACAACATATTTTGTTTCTCTTTGTTACTATTTAATGCCGGACTTAGGACCTACATACTCCTAGCCTCGTGGCAAATTCCAGTCAACTTTCTTATATCAAGTTCTGGAGAGTCTTCCTGCTCATTGTTATCGACCTTTAACTTTGGCTCTACCTAAGATCCTACGGGATCTTACCCGTTTTGATTATCAATGCCCCGCGGAGCCAGGGCTATCTATCAGCACTGCTTACAACTGAGATTTGGGTCGGGGCTCGGGGTGATACAAAATACATCGGGGCAATTATCAAGGAGTCCGATGTGAGTATGTGGCTTATTCTTGTTTCAATAACAGCTTGCTTCCAGAGAGAAGAAAATAGGGGGAGGTCATCTGATAAGGGATGCAGTTCACTTATAGGTGCGGATCACACTGCACCAACAGGCTGAATTCAACTGTGGAGTGATACGTGTCCGGAACAATATTCAATGTTGTATGTTGTATACGGAGTTGTGGCAGCTATATTTTATGAACAGATTTGCGGTCAGCCTGTATAGTATGCACATGTATGTAAAGCGGAGCTGCATTAGGATAATAAGCCATCCCATCGAGGGGAAGGTTGCAGTGTGTCCACCTAAAATCCTCTGAGTGTATCAAATTAAAGTACCAAAACGGCAAGAACAGGTACAATACAACGTACAGACCTTGAGCACGCAACTCGATAAGAACTTCGACCGGTGACCCAAATCGTGGGGATGGATCGGCACCATTTGTCATTTTGTCCCAGACGGATTCTATTTTCCCGCGAGAGACCACTTTCTTAAGTCCGGTTTGAGACTGGTATTAACCCGATCTACGATTAGAGGGTCCGAATCCGGAGCATACATATTTAACCGTTGAGTACTACTTGAGGGCTATACTGCGTATACTATACTCTAACCCTAGTCTGATTCCTGAGGTCTCTCGTACGAGTCCGCTTGAAAGTTGACCCAAGTTTCAATCAATACATTACTTTGTATATTGTACATAACCGGTCCCAGAGGCAATCAATGATCCGTCAGCCAGGATGTGGAGCAGGATACAGGAACTTCTAGATTTCCCAATCAGTGGTCTCGGTCTGAAGTATACAATCTACCCGAAGACTACCCGGATCATGTCACTGCTCTCCTTTGAAGGATATTGATTGTTCTTCTGTTGTCAAGCTGGCTAAGACTGACGAAAACAATTCACTATCTCGAGCTGCCAACTTTAGCCTCTGTATATTACTTTTTTCTTTGAATGAAACCTTTGAACTTCAAGGTGGGAACCCCTGTCGTCATGGCTTAGGTTTGTCAGCTGGATAGCTGCAGGCTGGCAGGCTTGGACTTGCCGGTCGGACTACAGTAGCCCGAGTGGCAGAAGAAAAAAAAAGTAGGGCGGTAAATGATCGGTAAATGAACTCGAGGACTCGGATCGGAGAAATAAGAATCCTGATAAAAGCCTTATCTCATCTCAAATTCTGCCTATCTAATCGCTGATGTAAGACATAGGGCGGTGTGTCTATCACGGGATCTCGCTTAGCCCTGATGTGTCACGTGGACTGTGGCTCGCTAAGATCCCGTTTGGGCTAGGGCGAAAACCAACACACGGCTGCCCAAATTGATTGTGCGCCTGACTCTATCGAAGCGACGACAACCACGACAAACGGGAACGACTTTTGATCTTGCGGGTCATTCCTTCGACTTTCTTTCCTTGCCCGCTCCCCAGAGAAACGCCGACACAATGCCTTCGGAACAAGGACACCGCCGTGAGTGAATCCCTCGAACGTCTTATCGATCGTCGTTTTGGCGGTCTCGAAATCGCAAACCCGCGTCTCGAGCAGGCACCTTGTGTGGTCGCACACTGAATCAAAAGACATGTGCTAACTATTTTCTTCTTTTCTAGTCTACGTCAAGTAAGTTAACCACCGCACTTTCATCGTCGCATTTAAGGATACACGAATTCGACATGGAGAACCGATTTGGGGGACACAAGACATCGCCACTCAAATCGAAAAAACACACGATATGGACAGAGCATTAATACGGTTTTCTTTTTACAGGGGACGTCACCTGAGCTTCCAGCGCTCCAAGCACGCCCTGACTCCCAACACCAGGTATCTACACCCTGCGCACATGAAATTGAATACTCGATGAAATGGAATCTGATATATGGTTATACAGCTTGGTCAAGATCGAGGGTGTTGATGACACCAAGTCCGCCAAGTTCTACCTCGGCAAGAAGGTCGCTTTCGTTTACCGTGCTAAGCGTGAGGTCCGCGGCTCCAACATTCGGGTGATCTGGGGCAAGGTCACCCGGCCGCACGGTACGTGAATCTAACAACCAGTCTCAAGACCATCTCCAAATGGCCCTCTGTGTCTGGAAACTCCTCGAAGTCGAATTACGTCTGATCTGACTCGTTCCAGGCAACTCCGGTGTTGTGCGCGCCAAGTTCCGCAACAACCTCCCCCCCAAGTCCCTCGGCGCTACCGTCCGCGTTATGCTCTACCCCTCCAACATCTAAACGGCTTCTTTGTGTTGTTTTCAGTGGGCGATTCCCTTCTTCGCACAGACGGTCGGTCAGGCAAGGAAAAGTCGACGGAACGAGCCGATGTTGATTTGAGGTGATGGAGTTGGCGGGTTGATAACGTTTTGTTCGTGGGAGAAGGCAGGGCCAACAAAGCCCTACGAATCAAAAAATTTTACACTTTCATAGCTGTGTCGACCCCAAGATACTGGGAACGAGCTTCGTCTCGATATTTCTCCTTGTTCTTACAATTGGCGAGCATGATGTGTCTGGTCGCGCAGCGTCACTTCTCCCATTGTGTATCTGACGCTTAAACGCACCAAATTCCATACCATTTCAAATTTCAACAGACCGGTCAATCGATCCGCTTCTTCGTGCGTCCGTCTTCCGTCTTTTGTTCTAGAAGAAAATTGCATTTCCTTGCTTTGGCTCCAATCTACCATGGCATGCTTGTTTTGCGAACCTAAATTATACTCCCCATGGCAACAGCAAGATAAATAGACCTCGGCCGTATCATTTTCTAAACTAGCTACGTATAGCTCTAGCACCCATAGACCCTTTGCTGCCTGATTCGGCCTGATTCCCCAGGTTGTGTGATGTGGATCCCCCCTCCCCCATATCAACCACCACCTAAACTTGGAAATAGAGGGCACTCTTTTTTGATATTCTATGTTCTGTGTTACTCCAATTCTAGCTCCCACATGTTTTCTCTATCTTCAATTTCCTCATAAAATATATAACGAAAAAAAAAAAAGATACAAATATATAACATAAAATCCGAGCCGAACTCCACCCTAGCCGAAGTATATATTTCCGAGTATACAAAAGCAAAACAAGATATCCTAAACACCAAACATCAAAAACATACATTCCATCATGAAATCTTACAAAGTTTCCTTGTGAATTGATTGTCTATGCGCTTTCAAATTCTCCCGTCGACTTGAAGCATGGTCACACCAGGGACACTTGAAAGCGCGCGGATTGATATGCTGAGTCTGGATGTGCCGCATAAGCACTCCTTTGCGTGAGAATAGACGGTCATACTGACAGCTCTTCCATTCGCATTTGAAGGTTCCGTAATTATCACTCTCCCTAGACGAGGTGAGGTGTGTTCAGCATGTGTGTATGAAGGTTACATTTTCTTAAGAGGAAAAGAAGAAAATACGCACTTTCTTTTGCCTCCACGTTGACGAGAACGACATGGCATTTTGCCCTGGCTATGTCCATTGTTCGCCTCATTCAGCTGAACTGTCTCTTTTATTATGGGAGTCGAGACTGGGAGATCATCCCAGGGACTGGGACATCTAGCGTCGTAGAGGCTTGCTGGGGAGGGGACGGTGTGGGTTGCTTGGATTGGAACGGATCTTGGGCTGTGATTGTTGATGGACCGCTTAATGGTGCTTGGGTCTAGGTATGACGACGAAGGAGTGGGGGACAGCATTGCCCCAATTGCAACCGGCGTGGAGGGGAATTGTGTGGAGGGGAGCTGGAACTGATAGTTGTATGAAAGAGGTCGAGTAGTAGGTGTTCTTGCAGTGGTGGATGGATCAGGCGACGGGGACATGAAAAGAGTCTCGGGCTGTTTGAGACGTTCGGTTCTCCAATTCTCCAATTCGGCATCGGGCCATTGAAACGCGGCCTCCGAGATAGTTGAGTTGTGGTTGCGTGTTGGCCACGCCATCATGGTATAATCGCCGACCTGGATGGAGAGTGTGAGCGTTAAGAAGGTGGAGACAAGCTACACGAATGCTAGTGGGCAGTTAGATGGAATAATATCTCTTTGAGCCGATGAAGGACAGCCGAGTATTTATAAATTCGAGTCAACGTGATTCTGGGTACAGGGCCGGCCAATCTCACTAAAAGCGGCAGGTCAACTTCACTAAAAGCCTCACTTGGAGGGACTGCACATCACTGATAGAGATGGACACAGAGAAAAAAAAAAAAAAAAAAAGGAAGAACGGGCGGGATCAAACTTGGAATAACACCCAGAATTGTTCTCGAAAACTCGGTTTACGTTCTAGAAGCAGGGGTTTCGTTCTGTGCATTAAGCCCATGTCTGACATTACTACATATGGACAAGGGCGATTCCAATCACAACGGAATCATTATTTGTGGCTCTTTTAGCGAGCTGAGCATGATACCCCGGTCTCCAAAGGTCCTTGGCTGCAGGGAACCCATCATTTGTATTCTTGATTTCTCGGTTTCGGGCTCGAAGAAGTGGCCCCCCAAAGCGGCAGGAGGATAATATGAAATGTGATAATCCTGCAGGCCGCGAGCCAATCATATCGACAAAGCATTGACACTAAAGACAATTGATAACGAGGGTTAAGAGTGACTGGCATGTATAATAGATCTTGATCACCCATCATGGGTTATTACTTGCTCCAATACTGTATACAGTATATAGTACATTTGACTATGGGATTATAAAATTAGTAAAACTGGAACATGCATGCACCAATTCCAATTCCATGGACCTGGGCGTAGGAATCGGTTGATATCCAGTGTTATCCATTGCGACGAACTTTTTCTGTTTGACTGCCACGTCACGTCTGCAAGATGCAGATCATTAATCATTAACCACGCGGAGTCACAAGGCTGACGGGGGATATACGAGAGAAGACCGACATATTCTCACGGCTAGATGCATTTCTTTCCATATCCCTCTTCCTCCCACCCCCCCTTTTTAACACTTTTAACGCCCGTTTCGTTTTATCCTTGTGCTTTTTTATCATGCAGTTAGACTCTGATAATTACAAATTCAAGATTTATTCAAAAAAGCCTCATTATGTGAACTATGTTTGTGAGATTGTTGAATATGGATGTGACAGGGATCCTCGTTTCAGGGTTACATTGCATGAATTAGGGCCTGCGCCGGGGGCGGTTGGAAAAATATAAGAATATTAGAATATTAGAATATTATTACTGCATATCTATTCCAGAAACTCTAACTTGGTTATACTCATGGATAGCATGACGAGAGGTTAATGATCCTTCCGAGACTTTCTATCGTCAAGTTGGGGTTCCGGGGACTTTGTAGGACGCTGTTGACTTACATACGATCTCTAATTTACCCCGGGATATCGAAATTGTAAAAAAGAGCCTCAAACATTGGCTTAAGCGCCGAGTGTGCTTCCATGTGACGGGGAGTGCATTTGCGGGCGAACCACATTGGTGCCCTCGTATATGCATGCAAACGCATGGGGCGGAGTTTAGCTGCATGAGCTGACAATCGACGGTCCTATTATTACTCCTATAATGATAATAATAATGTAATATTATCCCACTTTCCACCCAATCTTCCATTATTTATTGCTCTCAATCAAACTATAATCACTCCAAAAACCAAGCACCAAAACTCCGGGTATCATTGAATATCAACACTAAGCGCTAATCTAGTATAATCCAAACTCAATACAAAGATAAGATTCTCCCAGTGACTCCAGACCCAATGCAAACTCAAGCTTTTCATCAGAATCGCCGCGAATGAACTCTTCCCAAGTGTTCAGTCAAATTGTCCCGTCGAGAGAACAACTTGCCACACACAGGACATTCAAATGAGTGAGGCGAGACATGCTGCGTTTCTATATGACGCATGAGAACCCCTTTGCGGGAGAACAGGCCGCGATATTTGCAGTCTTTCCAGTTGCATTGGTACGTCCCGTGAAGTTCGCTAGAATGACAAGGGTGATGTTAGCATGGTGATGATATGCTAGCTGGGCACTATACGGTTGGCTTACTCGTGTCCCGGTCTGAGTGTTCGGGCAGCACGATAGGTGGTCTGCATTTCATGACCACCAAGACCTGATTGGGGTATCTCTTGCATGGCGGGAGTGGATGATCTCGATCCCGATGGTGTGGTGCATGCAGTACTGAGTCCAGAGCTGAGATAGCTCATGGGAGAGAGCTCCCCAGATCTATTGTTCTCGATCGAGGGATTGTGTACCGTATTGTGATTGGGAGAATCAAAGTCGGTATGGGTCAGGATAAAAGGCATGTTGTACTTGGGGTGGACTGGCGCGGAGGGATGCTGCATGGGAGTATTATACGGAAGATGGTTCTCAGGGAACATCGACGGTTCTGTCGCCAGAGAGGGAGGGTACTGATGAGCAGCAGACCCATAGGGGGGATAAGCATCCCTAGCACCCTGATTTTGACCAGGCGCGCTGGAAGCGTTTGGGGGGACGTTGTATGAAGACCATGCCATCGTAGTAAGAGAACAGTGACAGAAATGTTGGACAAGTAAGAGTTGTGGAAGCTAAGTAATCAACAGGGTTCAAGTGGCGATTTTGGATTTATAGGAAGGAGATAAAGGATTTATATGCTTGGAATTCAATGTTGGATATGTGATGTACGGTGAAGAATCAATGCCTGAGTGCATGGAATCGTGGCTCTGCTGCACCTTATTACAAGCCACAATCTTCGGCCGGGCGAACTGATGGCACCGGCCCCCTCCAATGAGAGAGAGGAACGTTCAACCGGGCAGTGTCGTCGAAGCTCAATCCTTTCTAATAGGTTCTAAGGCTACATCCAAGCCGGAAACTGTAGCAGGATGACGTAACCTGTCATGGGGGAACATAGAGAGAAGACCGATGTAAAGTGGAGTAATGGATGGAGGCTGGACCTCACGATTTCTGGCCTTTCCCCAAATGGACTAGGTCTCTCAGGCATCCATGGGACGTTCTCGGGGGATGCCGAATGAACACAGCCTGGGCCTTGGAATACACTGGGGTTCACATGAACACGTAAGCTGAAATTAAAACCTCGGACCTTCGCCTTGCATCATATATCCAATCCCGATGATTCCATGAGCTATTGTGTTTCATGCTACTCCTCATTCCATCCTGATCTTCCGTGACAGCGATGTCTTCGAGGAACCTATCCAATCTTCACCAACTGAGGGGTTCTATTGCATTGCCGATCATTCGAACTCCCGGGTGACGGCCGAATTGACCTGGTAATTTTGCCCAATTCACCCTTGACGTGTCCATCCGGTAGGACAATACGCCGGCTTCATTATAGGACAACCGTTTCAGACTATCGGTCCCTGCGACCTTATTTCTTGTTTTGCATTTTGCGTTTGGTGTTGACAACCCTATCAGTCATCTGATCATACTAATGCGAGTATTTGCCATGGATCTTTCTCCTTCAGATCTAGGCCCCTTATTTTGTAATACTCATAGTAAATTAGTGAGTCACATGTGCATGACAAACTCATATCCCCAAGCCTCCTGCAATGCAAACGTAGAAGCACAAGCAGAACTGTCAGGAAGGACCTACAGAAAGGGTCCCGTCGAAGTGCATAATAAAACGTGAGCTAACATTCAGAGCTGAGAGTTGTTAACTAGAGAAGAAAGCTATGTGATCTCAACAAGAACTATAGCGAAAGAAAAAAAAAAAAAAAAAAGCAAGAAAAAGGGGGCATTCAATACAGAATTCTAAGTACAGAGGTAGAATTGGTGGGGAGAGCGATTCATGTGGGTCCTGATAGACCTAAGTTCGACCCACTCCTTAATATATGGGATTGCCTGTATCTCTTCAAATGGAGGCTCCTCACGATCTGTCAAATTGTCCACAAAAATAGAAGTGGAGTATTTCGCGGATCCGATAATAAAATGAGGACGCAAAGAAATGGTGGAGAACAGGCTAGAGGGTATTGAAATACCCCAAATGCGGCGAGAATCAGCGAAGAATCAGAAACAGCGTTCAGAAATAGCAACATCAAGGGCAACACACTAGGGCTCTACATAACTAACTGCAAGATGCGCTTGGGGGAAGCTTAACACGGCTTGCTGATATCCTAGCTTGCAAAAGTTGCCGGTGATTCCCTTCGATCGAATGTGGATCGGCTCGTGATCTTCGCCAAGGGAGGTGGTGTCACCATGGAGAGAACGACCCAGCCACTCAGAAAATTGACCATGTTCGATGCCGCTTCTCAGATATCGCTTTCTCATACAACTTCTTCAGCTCATTCATTGCAGTTCCATTTTTGCTGAGGAGGTCTTTCGACTCCCACACTGCATTGACAATTGCCACCTGCATGGTGGCAGCGATCCTTTTGCCGGTCGACCACGTCCCCCCTCCCCAACTTCGTATTTCTTGCCAGGGCTCTAATGAGGGTGAAGGAGCAGCCCGTATAGTTGGATCTAGTTGGATCCTGGATTCCAGTGTCCTTGGGACTCCGTACCATGGTCGCAGAGAGTGGCAGGATTATATGGGTCTTCTTCCTAGTCCCGGATTTGCCGTCCACATTGCTCAGGGAGTCGTCGAAATTATGCATAAGAGAGGTGATGGACCGCTGGAAGTGGTTGGCCAAGAAGTCGAAAAGGAGGCACAGCCTAGACTTGAAGAGTGCTAGGCGAAGCATCCGAATGAGCTTCGATCGGTTCATTGTCAGCAAACATGGCCTCCTTCCAGTACTGCTGAGGGACATGGAGGTCCTGGTGAGGTCCAAATAGGGCTTTTATCCCGCCAATGGGATTTTCCTGAGCTTACCGCTGTAGGTCTTTCAGATGAGTGGTCTTCCAGGTCTTGGAACTTGCGCCGTCACTAGCGGCACTCGACAACGACCCGATCCTTCGCAAGCAGTGATTCCTCGAATTGCCGGGACATACCCGTTGATTCGTTGTCCAAGGACTGAATCATTCATTGCATTTCTTCGCAACATCAAAGGATTCCTCGGAATCACGAGATCGTACATCCACACCATGGAGCTGATGCTCTGGAATTTCCACCTAGGCTTGCTCCCGCGTGTTGTCACGGAGATACTCGACCCCACGTATATCGTGAGGGTAAGGGTAACTGTGCCCTCATTGATAACACATATCGCATGAAGTTTGGTGTTGCTCCACCATGTTCACGAGATAAATGCCAGACCATATTTCACGGTTAGCGTTTGGAAGGTGGCAGTAACAAGCACCCGTGGATGAGGGCTAGTATGAACGGAAAGTCTTCCATCATTTCCTGTATACAGAGCATGGACGGTGGAGTAGGGATGGCATATACTTGAACTGTGGTTGTCAAGTTATTGTCAGTTCAAGCAAAAGGTTAAAGAGAAAGTTCTTGCAGGACGTACGATGGGTATACTTTGATGAAATGTACGAGCGAGAAGCGAGAGAAGAATGGAAGAGAAGTGAGAAAAGAGACTAGGTGACTATGAAAGAAAAGTGAAAGTGAAGTGAGGGAAAGAAAGACAGGGGTAGAGGCTCAAGAGAAATCTGCCGGCTGATGACCAGAAATGACCAGCATCGAGTTTCAAGTAGGTTGGGGGTATAATAGTGAAGTAAAATGGGAGAAGCCTCATGGTTTGAGATAGGCCGTGCCCAGAGGTAGATAAGGAGGAGGAGGAGGAGGAGGAGGAGGAGGAGAGATCGTTCTTATATAAGGACATGATTCTATAGACCTGAGGCACAAACAAGGTATCAGACCTGGAGGTGTAAATCAGTTTGCTGTGGGATCAGGGGTAAGGACTTGTTGAATAGCTTACTTATTTTATGATTTAGTTAACAGTTTATAAAGGTTTTACTTTCCTTGGGTCTGGATACGAAGTCCAATACTTCCACACGGTATGTCTTCAAGTTTGCCTATCCCAAGAGCCGCAGTGATTTGGTTCTAGGAAGGATCTCGACCACTGGAAAAGAGAGACATGGAGATGTGGTCACCACCAACTCGAGTATAGCTCAACCTAGTATCATATAGCAGTGCTATAAGTTTAGGGTTGTCCGAATCATATACTAGGTGTAAAGCAAGCTATAGGAAGGCTGCTGGATGCTCAAGGCTAATATAAAATAATATAAGAAGTGTTCTAAGGTTGTTTTCTTAGAGTCAAAACTTCTGAGATATCCACATGTACTTATACGGTTGAGTCCGGTGACAAGGAACCTGATAAAGAAGGTATCCAGGGATCAAACTTGGCATAGAATTCTATGCATCCGTGTGCAATTATATTTATTTATTGTACATAAAGGCTCAGTATGCATCATAACTCGTATGAAAATAGCAATAAAGGATAACCCCAACATAACCCAAGTGAGAGGCGTTTGAGGCTGCAATGACAAAGAACCGATTGAAAAATATGTATTAACTTTTAAGAATATATGCTAAGGAACATGGAGGGGAGAAAGTAATAAGGGGGTATCCAGAGTGGGGGGGAGAAATTAGGCCTCGATTTCAGGCTTCGAGTTATCCTTGTGCCGAGAGTCGATAAGCTCCTGACGGGCACGCTCTTGCTCAGCAAGGCCGGTCTTCTGGATAGTGTGATTGCGAGTCAGCTCACGACGGCGGATAAACAAAGCGAGAACAAAGCCGAGACAAGCCATGGCAGTGTAAAAGATCCACATGCGGTTCAGGGCATGTGTGTAGGCGCCAAAGATGACCTCGCGTTGGGAGGGAGTAAGGCTTTTGATGAGGGACTTGGAGGAGCCGCCAAAGGAAGCCATAACAGCCGCAGCAGTTTCAGCGCCCAGGGAGGCGATAAGCTTGGCTGATTGTTGACTCATCATATTTTGGTAAATAACGGTGCCCAGAACCACGGACATCGAGGTGGAAAGTTGACGGACGAAGCCGAAAGTGGCTGTTGCCGTGGCCATATCGGCGGGACGGATGTTGGCTTGGAAAGCGACCAAAGGTGCCTGGAAGTTGGGACCAATACCGACACCAGCGATTATCTGGTAGATGATGATACGGGGCCATGATGCGTAGGCCTTGAGGTCGATGAACAGACCAAACCCAAGGGCCATCAAGGACATACCGCCGATAATCAGTTCGCGGAAGCGTCCAGTCTTCTTCATGACGACACCCGTGGTGATGGAGCCGACTGCAAGAGATAGCACCAGAGGCAAGACATATACACCACTCATGATTGGACTTGACTGAAGGACTGTTTGGAAGTATAGTGGCAGATAGTAAGCAGCGGCGATGAAGGTGAACCCGTGGCAGAAACAAACGAGTAGGATGAGAACGTTATACCACTCGTTGAACAACCGCGGGGGAATGATCGGGAATCTGGCAACTTTCCATTCCAGGAACATTGCCAGAGCCCAAGTGAACACGCCGAAGACAATGAGGCAGATGACAGTAGGCGAGGCCCAAGGATAGTTGACACCTCCGAACTCCAGTCCGAAGAGGAACATCAGGGTTCCGCCGATGATCAAGAATGTTCCGGTCCAATCAATGCAGCGCAGACCAGCCCAGAATGGAGTCTTGGGCGATTCAATGTGAAGGAAGAGAACAAGGATAACAAGTGAGACACCTCCAACGGGAAGGTTGAGATAGAAACACCAGCGCCAAGACACATCTGTGGTGAAAGCCCCTCCAATAACAGGACCAAGAGCGCCTGCGACGGCCCAAGTTGCACCGAAAAGACCATAGTACATCGGACGATCTCTGTATAGAAATTAGCCCCATTCCATCCCAGATCAAGAAGTCACCATACCTCAAACTGAAGAGATCCGATACACTAATATTAGCCAGGATGATGATACCACCGCCACCAATACCCTGAACCGCTCGACCTGCGATAATTGTGGCCATGTCATGCGCCAAAGCACAGATCAGACTGCCAACCAGAAAGACAACATTTGCCAAGACAATGATAGATTTTCTTCCCCAGATATCACTAATCTTGCCCCACAGGGGAATGCAGGCGGCATTCGCCAGCAAATATGACGATGCGATCCATGAGAAACCGCTCTCGGAGGCACCAAACTGCGCGGCGATAGTAGGGAGGGCGGTGGAAATAATCGTCTGCGAGAGATCAACGTTAGTAAAAAGCCGAAATAAGGAGTGAATAAACGAGCACATACCATATCCAAAGCCGCCAAGAATAAAGCCAACTGAAATGCGACAATTAGCTTTGCTGTACTCCCCGAACGCTTTCCCCGCACTTCGGAGGGTTTCTTACACATAGCGCTGTCATCACGACGATGATCTTATTCTTGCCCATCTTGGCTGCCTGTGAGGGCGCGTGGTCTGGAGGCGCACCCTCTGTTGACTTTCCTGTCGCATTCTCCGCATCGTTGGGTTGATCTGCCTCAGCTTCCTGTTCGGGGGTATCGCGGCGTTTTTCTTCGTGGGGGTAATTGATCTCAGTATTACTGCTCGACCCATCTGGTTGCTGTCGCTCGCTCATCGTAATGTGTTGGGGGAAATAGAAAGGAAGAAGAGTTTTCTAGAAAGAAATGGAGTTAAGGTCCCTTCCGCCCAAGCTAATAAAATGTTTGCCGATCGCGGAAGTATGCTTTTTTTATATTATTTATTTGTCAGAATGGTAGAGCATGATACATAATATATATATGTTTTAAATTGGAGTGAAGAGGTCGGATCTCGTATTTTCGGAATTGCCTTATCGAAATGGCGAAGCCGAAGTCTTAAATTGGTTGAGATCGATCAGCCGAGTGGATCGCCATCGGAGTCGGCGTTAGATAAAAACCGATCCCTATAGCCGAGACGTATAGAGTACAGGTTATGAGAACTAAACTCCGTACATATGTAAATAGAAAATGACTTCGCGTGGTAAAAAATTTTTTTTTTTACCACACGAAGTCGAAAATGCGGCTGACTGCATAAATGTCCGAAAACGACACCAATTAGAAAAGAGCATAGTTGAGAGTCATGTGCGTGTACTAGTTTTGCTAGCAATGGGTTAGCACGTATTGTGCAGTCTAAGACTACACTCGGATTTAAGGAAATGAGATCCCTGACTTTAAGGATAAGAGTAAGAATAAGATGAGGGAACGAGTAGCTGTCAGTCGCCAAAAGCGAATAAACGTACGTACTTCTAATATATGATCCACGAACGTTGACAAACACTGCCAGTCCAAGTAAAAGGTAATCTATTCTTATTGTCATTTGAAAAACCCCGAGCTAGCTCGCGACTCCTGTAACGGAATCTGACCACTTCCGGATTTGGATAATTAGAACAACAAAGAACAAAGTGCAAAGTGCAAGCCACCAGAGTCAACTCGTTCAACCACAAAATATAGGCAGCTGCTAGTTACATCTGATTTGGAGCATTCGGAATAAACAGGACATTATCCTTTCCCCATTTGCGGTCTCTTATGAATATCGACAATAATGTAGGGAGTGCCAGTCATAGGACTCACCATTTAATCACAGCTTGCAATAGCCAAATATGAGAGTCATTGCAGATGTGGAACATGTCTCGAGGTAGTGAAGTAACAGAGACCTCACGGAATGGTAATTGTAACGATTGATGTGTGTATATCCTCTAGCTCACGGAGAATGTGGAGGCAGAAAATGGATCAGACGTTGTGATCCTTCTGAAAGAGAGGCCTCCAGCGCTCTACGTGAGCTGGATTGACTGACTTCTCACATCTGATAGGTGTAACATCGTAGTGGACGTAATTGGAATAATTGAGAATTGAAAGAGAGAGGACTTGAAGCCAGCAAAATCAGGTCCATGGGTCTACTCAGGAGCATCAGAGGGGATCACCTTACGACGTTGCGGCTAAGGCGGCAACCGCGACTTTGGACACTCGCATGACGCTGCCTCGTTGAGGGTGAAATTGTAGATGACGACGACGAGTCTCGAGGTGGCGATCTGCACCTCTAGTTCGAGATTTCCACAGCGACGGATTCCTCGTGGGTATGTGTGTTGTGTGTATGAATGCGAGAGCGTAACAGACGGACAATAGCAATTAAATCAAGCGGACGCCGCGCATGAGAAGGGAGAAATAGAAGAGATATTCCTTGGCAAATCCATGAACGAGGGCTTCGGCTCGTACGACTCGTTCGGATTTTTCCTTTGACAGCTGTGTTTTTGCGTTTTCGCGGGCCGGAAGACTTGACGTAGACAGGGATGAAGCCAAGGTTAACATTTAGGACAACGTAAATGGAACCGTCCTCCCAAAAGCCATAAAGGATTACTTGGAATCTTCGAAAATTTCTTGAGCTTGTCTTTGAGGACAGGTGAATTCTCAGCTGCTGGTGTGCGTTCCAAGAGGCCTCAAGCAAGCGATAAAAAATTAATGGATAGAGTTAACCGCCTTTTGGTACTTATAAAGCGCATTCGACGTGCCGAGGCGAGGAAGGGTGTTGAGGGATTGATGTTGGAGGATGGCGGTGTCGACCGAGTTTGGGCATAGGCCTGGGTGGTTCTTTCCACAATCGAATAATTACCATTCCTGTCAATGGAGGCCCACAGTTGCCTAAATTGTACATGCATAGTTGCAGTAGATGATTTGATCCATCTGTGGTATGTTCTACCATAAAACCAAGGCTTATACAATACGCAATCATACTAGTAGAAAACATCTAGAGCTAATCCAAAGCTGATGTAGATGCCAACTTGGTCTATATTCAAGCTTGACAGTGGGTTGTCAGATTGTTCTAGTTGACCGCAGTACAGTAGAAAAATCCAAAGAATAACACTCCTATCATACAAAACGGCGAGGTCCTGGTTGAAGTTTAACTACAATAGTAGGGGAACACCAAGTATACAGAGAGCTAGTGTTTTCGAAACCAAGTTCAACTTGTTACCAAGAAATATAAACCATATTGCAAATACTCTGCTCTATAAATCATTATGCGGGCCTATATGTTGCATTTTTCAAGCATGGTTTTGCACTAAGGCATAATCGGTCGAAGAAGAATGAACAATGTGAGTCGTAGTGTAACTACTTAGGTAGAGAGAACATAGAGACTCAAAAGGAGAATGAGTAACTTGTCAGATTAGAGTAATGTTTAGCACCGGTGGATATGGTTCGGATAGACTATTGGCGCTAGTAGGGGGTTATGGATGGTAATACCAACCCCAAATCTGTTTTACTTTCTTTACCATCTTTAGTATGTGTGCTTGCAGGAGCCTGTTACATATTGGAAACTGGACAATGTCTGTTAGACTTTTGGAAGAGGTCTCATTTAGGTGTCTTCCTATAGATCTCTTTTACGTTGGTTCGTCACCCCATCTGTTATTGGATCTAGTTGTTCCAGCTTCATTTAATATAGGAAAAATGGGATGGGCAGACTCAGCTGTCACCGGAAGAAAGTTAACGCCAATTGAAGAAGCTAGCATGGGAATATCAACGTCTAACCCTGATTGAGAGGGATCCTTATTGAGCGTTGAGTATAGTTACGTTTTTGTTTATCTTTTACACCAGATAGAGCAAACTCGGAGTTTTGGTAGCGCTATTAGCAATCTCTCTCAGAGAAAGCGACTGGTACTACAAGTCAGGCTAAAACACACGAATTGCAACATGACGCACTAATTTTGTCGTACTCGAAAACTAGTTTGGTTGTGGATATGCTACGATCCCATATTTACAGAGAAGTATGAGGAAATTAAGAAATAATCCTAGACGTCTGGTGGAGTCCCAAGAGATATTATCCTAGAGCGAAATGCTCTACAACTTCAAGAACGGTGTCACAGACAACGTACCTACGGACAACATCGAAACACAAAAGGCTAGGCACTAACTTTCCAAGTTTGGAACATGCCAACAGCAACGCGTATGCGGGGTAAAAGTAGCTAAAGATGGCGCTAAATCTGAAACGGTATAGCGTGGTCTACATGTGGGCTGAAGCCCTAGCCTGCTAGCCCTAACTGCCTTTCTAGGATAATTTAATGGGTCTTTCACGCGCCGGAACGCGTGAAGATAATTTATCCGGCCATTCTTATCCTTTCATCTTCAATCTTCACTTACACTAAACTCAAGGCATCTTCAGTGGGCTCATATTCAATCATGGCACGCATTGAGGGCCTTCCCATAGAGCTCATACATTCCATTGTGTCTTTTCTTGTCGAACCCGAAGATGATCTCGACCTACTCAGCGGAGGTCAAACCACGAAAGCCAAAGATGGCTATACAAAGAAATTAGATGACGAATATGATGACAACGAATATGAAGATGACGCGTACGATGGAATTGAGACTCTGCGCAATGTTTGCCTAGTTTCGCGGCAGTTCCGTGAGGTTGCCCAACCTTTACTCTTCCGTGAGCTTTATGATGATGGCATGGCCGGTGATCTAACGCCGAGCATCCCATTCACCAAAACAATCTATCGGCGTCCAGATCTTGGAAAGCATGTGAATCAAATCACCATCCTGCCTCTCTCATTCCACCCAGGTGGTCCCCGATTCTCTTGCCTCTGAAGACTGCGAGTTCTTCAAAGGCATAATTAAGGACCTTCAATTGGCCGATGAGGAGGAAACATGGATTTCAGCTATGAACAAATGCGACATCAGCATCTTCGTAGCATTGCTAGCCAACAAGACCCCCAATGTTCGCGGGATACATCTGCCAGTGCGCAAATTCTCAATCCAGCCATTCATCCAGCTTTTCCATCGCAATCCAGAATTTTTATCGAACCTCGAGTCTGTCTGCATTGAAAGCGATGACGAACTTTCCGGCTTCGATATTGCTTCCTACGAGAAATTCCTTACCCTTCCCAAGGTCACACTTTCGACTTTTGAGTACGGTGATCTCTTCGACACATCATTTCCATCTACCTGGCTGCCTGGAACATTAGAGACCCAAGAACTCGCCTTCCACCACTGCCACATCGATGCTGGCGCCCTCAAAAAGCTAATGCAAGCATGCAAGAAACTCAAAACCTTTACCTACAACAATTTCAGCTTGGATCCTAACGACCGACGAATCATGCGCGCGGGAACCGTGCCCGAGTTTAACGTCAAGGAGGCTCACGAAGCCGCCCTCCTACATAAGGACACGCTTGAACTCTTCCACGTCGAGTACGCAATGGAACTACCGGATGTCGATGATATCGAGCAACTCGTTTCTAGCCACGTCAAGGTTGGCTCATTCCGTGATTTCTCCGTGCTCGATACAATCCTAGTCCCACACGCTTCTCTTCCACTACACCCTCAATTTCCTAGCTCGTTAGAGACACTCCATATCACGGACTGCAACTCTTCTATCCGGGAGTTGACTCAGAACATCGCGACAGATTGTAAAAATGGTCTTTATCCGAAGTTGACTAACGTCAAGGTATTCGCAATTGACATCACACAGCCCATTAAGCTTCCTGGGCAACGTGTTCCAGAAGGAAAAACGCCAGAGCAATGCTTCCTTGTTCTGAAGGAGATGTTCAAAGGAACCAAAGTGAATTTCCAGATCTTGCCGTATGAATTACCTGATTTTGATGATTACGGTGATCTCGACGATTATGATGAAGATCTCGGCTATGAGGAAGATTTCATAGAACCGGGATTCGAAGAATTTCCCCCAGGAGCGGATCCCGACATGGGTTCGATCCCACCACGGATTCTGGATTTACTTATGCGGCGGGCTATGATGGATCCTGAGTTTGCACACCTTCATGCCGATGAGGATAGTGATGACAATTCTTGGGAAACTGAGGACAGCGATTGAGCCAATTATTCTTGTTCATCCAGCTATTGATTTTGCTATAATAGAATATAGAATAATACCCCTAACCGACTATGTACATTTTACTATATGGCTTGTTCCTTTATAGGGCTTTACTTTGACAGATGAGCGTATGCTTTATTTGGAGAAGATGGCTAATACTTTGATGATCCCAATGCATTCATATTCCAGGCATATCCGTGACTCAATAACTCCTCGATGAAAATGCAATGACCAGTGTCGTTCCCTGGCAGTTCTATGACAAAAACAAATGGGGGGTTGGGGGTATAATGAAGAGAGCTCGAGCGTAGACAAAACACCACAACTAGGAAGAAAATCGAGCAGAATAATACGCATGGTAATGTAGCAGAATGCTTTACTCCTGCAGTAGAAGAATCTCTGTTAAAACACCCAGTTAGCCACTAATCCCCAAAAACCGCACACCAAACAAGACTTACCAGTCAAAGCCTCCTCAAAGCTCAGAGTAATATATCCATCCCGGTCATCATCATACCGCTTGAAGACATCCGTCATGCGCTTCAGACTAATGCAAGCCTGAACGAAAAGATCAAAGCTCATACCAGTAAGTCTAGGATCCTTAGGCGTATTGCTCATCTGCTTGCCCTTGCCTTCAAAGACACCGAAGATAATAGAAATGAACTTCCCACTAAGACGGTATCCGAATGCAACAAGCGCCTTCTCAAACTCCGGCTGGCTAACACGCCCACTGCGGTCCTCGTCGAAACGATCAAACAGCTCCCGCCAGGCAGCCAAATACCGCCACAACGAGACAAATTCGTCGAAGTTAATTGTCCCGCTGCCGTCGCGGTCGAACATCCGAATCATCAGTCTCACCGTCCGCGGGTGGAAGGACGTGTAGTCGCCGTTCACGAGCGCGCTGCCAAGCTCGCCCTCAGTGAGGGCGCCGGAGTGGGATGCGTTCGCGGCGCGAAAGAGGGGAAAGAGTTGTTGCGGATCATCGCTGGGTGCTGTTAATGGCGGTGGGGCGGGCGATTGGGGAGGCCGCGATGAGGGCGGAGGTCTGTTGCGCTGGGGGTGCACTGGCGGGGGCCCAAAACCGTAGTTTTGGGGTGGTGGGGAGGGGTGGAGGGGGTGAGGTCGAGACTGAGACTGAGACTGAGACTGGCTGAGAGGTTGACTCGGCGGAGGCACGTTTGCTGAAGAAGAGCGGCCAGTGTAGGAGTGGGAGTGGGAGTGAGATTGGTGGGGTTCGAGACGTGGGGGCGCTGCGGCGTATGCATGTTGCGGGGGAGCGCTGGATACAGGAACGCGGGGAGGAACACCGCTGCTGTGAGTTGTTTGCGGTGGTGGGCGAGTAGGGAGCGGTTTTTGGTTGAGGCTCTGGGTGTGACTTGGGGCGTGGCTCGGGGCGTGGTTTTGGCCTGATACACTCATGTTGCCTAACATCTGCGCAACCTAATTGACCGTTAACAAAAGGAGGACGAGGCGTGTGGCAAATGCTGTACCTGTTCTGGCTCGGCATGACTGTAGTATTTCCCAGTCAGTAATCAGTAACTGTAGGCTCTCACTATATTGATTATCCACTTACGCCGGCAGCGCATCAGGGTTGTAGGATTTGTTATAAGCCATGGTTGGAGCCCTGGAGGTGAGGCAATCGAGAGAAAGAATGCGACACGGACTCTGGTGAAGTGCAACAAAGATATATGAAGTGGAAGGAGGAAGAATAAAAGGAGAGACAGGTTGAAAGCGGAGCCGTGGGGCATCGATTCTTAGCGCGCCAAGAAGGAAACCTTGTCGGAGTGACTACAGAGGACAGCTGAACACCTTTTTAAAACCAATTGAGATAGAGCGGAATATTTGTTGAAGCTTTTTATATCATCCGAATTATATTTCTTATACGTGATAAGATAACGAGATGTAACTACTTCAAACCCTTTTTCTGAATTCAAGTTATTGATAATCTAGTGAATTAACGCCTATGGAGTGCCATTCTATCTAGCGCTTAATTGTGACCAATACGAATACGAAATCTGAGACGTGCGCGGATTATTTAAGGTACGGCAATGGTATTGCCGCCCCTATAGAATGGTTGAAGAGTATTAAAGAGGCGGTCCTCTAAATTTTGGGGTCGAAATAAGCGAAATAATAGACATACATAATTGGGATATTATTAGGATGAGGCTGAACTGCGGCCCAACTCCCGTTGGGCGAATGCCCCGCTCAATACTAGAATTTGATTATCTTTCCACCTTGTCCACTCAACGACTTCAACCCGTCAACTATAGCATTGCTCAGTGCAAAAAGATTCTTTCACTATGGCTGATCCGCTCTCTATCGCATCTGGAGTTGCCGGGTTGTTGTCGTTGGGGATCCAAGTTACCAAATCTCTAGTTGATTTTTATTCCGCATACAAGGATCAGACTCCTACTCTGGCTAAGACTATGCTGAATCTTAAGAACCTTCTCAGCATCCTTCAGTCCCTTGATGATGCACTACAAAATGACCAACGCCAGAGGAATGCCCTACTCCAAGAGATCGACAAAGTGGCAGTGGAATGCCGTGGGGTCATCGAGGAACTGAGGGACGAGTGCCAAAAATTCCAAAAAGATACCACTCTCAGCCTGAAGGGCCGAATTCAAGTTGCCGGTCGCCGGGTGACTTATCCATTTAGGACAAGTACTCTCCAAAACCTTGAAGAAATCATCGGCGAGATACGGGGAAACTTGTCTCTTGCATTGAATGTGCTACAGCTCAGAAACCAGGCTGGGCTGGAAGATGAGATATCCGGACTCAAAATACTCGTCGAAAGGACAAGTGCGATTCAAATCTCTACTGAGATTCGTAGGTGGCTTAAGGCCCCAGATGCGACCATTGACCACGATTCCGCCTGCGAGAAACGCCATACGAGTACAGGATTATGGTTGGTCAACGGCCATAAATTTCAGAACTGGATGATTGAGCCCAATTCATTTCTCTGGATTAATGGCTTTGCCGGATGTGGCAAGTCAGTCCTATGCTCGACGGCAATTGAACATGTATTCCGTGAAAGGCAGCACCAGCCTAGAGTAGGAATCGGATTTTTCTACTTTTCCTTCAATGATGAGTCTAAGAAAGATTGTTCCGGCATGTTACGTGCATTGCTTATACAGCTGTCGGCTCAGCTTGAAGAGGGCGAAAAAGATCTACAAGAACTATATGGATTGTATAAACCGGGCGTTCCACCAGTGAAAGTCCTACTTACCTCTCTCGAACAGACCATCTGCAAGTTCAGCGTCACCTACATTCTGTTGGACGCATTGGATGAGAGCCCACGAGGCAATAAAAGAGAGTACGTTTTGGATGCGATAGAGAAGATCCGGCAGTGGGACCTGCCAAATCTCCACCTCCTAGTGACCAGCCGCAATGAAATCGACATCCGCGATGCTCTGGAAACTTCCTTCTGCCAGGATATCCCAATGAGAAATCCGGAGACAGATACAGACATCCAAAACTTCATTTCCTATCAGCTCAGCAATGACCCCAAGCTTCAAAAATGGGAATCGCGCCATGAAGAGATTCAAGAGAAATTGACCAATAAGGCGCACGGAGTGTGAGTAATAGCAAAGAGAAATGGTACAGGAATTTGGCTAATAATTGTATAGATTCAGATATGTCGAATGTCAACTCCTTGCGCTAAAACGTGTCCGGATCCGAAATCAGCTCGATAAATGTCTTCGTTCTTTGCCCCGCGATCTTGATGAGACATATGAGCGAATGTTGTGTAGCATTGACGAGGAAGACATTGAAGAAGCGCGACTAGTATTGACTTTACTTTGTGTGTCTAATCGGCCACTCACTGTGAGGCAACTTACCGGCGCCCTTGCTATTGACATCAAAGCCAGCGAGTGGCAATTGGATCGTGAGGGTCGATCATTTAGCCAAGATGATCTTCTCGACATTTGCCTTGGTCTCATAGAGCTCGCAGTGATTGAGGACGAGGACTCTGGAGAGATGACTACGATTGCTCGTATAGCGCACTTCTCTGTACAGGAGTACCTTGAATCAGACCGGATTTTCCAACAAGGCGCTGCAAAATTCACGATCCGAAAAGAACAAGCCCACACAGAGATGGCTCAGGTTTGCCTAGTGTATCTCCTGGACCCAACACTCTCGAATGGAGAATTGGATGAAGCAAAGCTGGAAACCTTTCCTTTTGCTCACTTTGCTGCTCAGTATTGGTTTTTCTTTTACAACAATTCCGGGAAAGGGAAGTCCGACATTGAGAGCTTAATTCTAAGGCTATTTAAGGACCAGAGAGAGTCATTTCTGACCTGGGTACGGTTGCATGACGTGGCTTCTATGCAGGATCATGGAATCAACTTCACGCTTGATACCGAGGATATCCCATCTCCTTTATACTACGCAGTCCTTTTAGGATTTGAGCACATCCTAAGTGTCCTTATGGCGAGCTTGGGGGAGGAGACCAAAATAAATGCCGCCATCAATAACCAGGTTGGATTATTCGGAAACGCGCTCCAGGCCGCATCATCCGGATTCACTACCGTCACCCTCGAGAACCAATGCTATGAGAAGATGGTGCACGAGAAGATGGTACAGACCCTTCTATATCATGGTGCCGACGTCAATATTCAAGGGGGGGTTTTTGGCACTGCACTCCAAGCTGCATCATATGATGGCCATAAGAAGGTGGCGCAAATCCTACTAGATCATAGTGCTGAGATCAATGCCCAAGGGGGTGAATATAACAACGCACTCCAGGCCGCCGCACAGGGAGGCCATCAGAAGGTAGTACAGACCCTTCTAGATCATGGTGCCGATGTCAATATTCAAGGGGGGTATTTTGGCACGGCACTTCAGGCCGCCGTACAGGGAGGCCATGAGAAGGTGGTACAGACCCTTCTAGATCATAGTGCCGATGTCAATATTCAAGGGGGGTATTTTGGTACGGCGCTCCAGGCCGCCGTACAGGGAGGATTTGAGAAGGTGGTGCAGACCCTACTAGGTCATGGCGCTGATACCAATTCTCTAGGGGGTACAAATGATACCGCGCTCCAGGCCGCATCATTCAGAGGGGATGACAATTTAGTGCAGACCCTACTAGATTATGGTGCCGATGTCAATGCTCCAGGGGGTCAGATATATGGCACCGCGCTCCAGGCCGCATCATTCGGAGGATATGAGAAGGTGGTGCAGACCCTTCTAGATCATGGTGCCGACGTTAATGCTCCAGGGGGTGAAAATAACACCGCAATCCAGGCCGCCGCAGAAGGAGGTCATGAGAAGGTGGTTCACACCCTGCTAGATTATGGTGCCGACGTCAATATTCAAGGGGGCTTTTTTGGCACCGCACTCCAAGCTGCATCATTCGGAGGCCATAGCCATTTAGTGCAGACCCTGCTAGATCGTGGCGAGGATGTCAATATTCAAGGGGGGTATTTTGGCACGGCGCTCCAGGCCGCCGTACAGGGAGGCCATGAGAAGGTGGTACAGACCCTTCTAGATCATGGTGCCGACGTCAATGCTCCAGGGAATCAGATATATGGCACCGCGCTCCAAGCCGCATCATTCGGAGGATATAAGAAGGTGGTGCAGACCCTTCTAGATCATGGTGCCGACGTTAATGCTCCAGGGGGTGCAAATGGCACCGCGCTCCAGGCCGCATCATCTGGAGGCTATGAAAATTTAGTGCAGACCCTACTAGATCATGGCGCCAATGTCAATGCTCCAGGAAGTACAGATGGCACCGCGCTCCAGATCGCATCATTAAGAGGCCATGACAATTTAGTGCAGACCTTACTAGATCATGGCGCCGACGTCAATGCTCCAGGGGTTACAAATGGCACCGCGCTCCAGGCCGCATCATTAAGAGGCCATAAGAAGGTGGTGCAGACCCTACTAGATCATAGCGCCGATATTAATATCCAAGGGGGTCTTTTTGACACCGCCCTCCAGGCCGCCGCACAGGGAGGATATAAGAAGGTGGTACAGACCCTCTTAGATCATGGTGCCGACGTGAATATTCAAGGGGGTTTTTTTGGCACTGCGCTCCAGGCTGCATCAAGAGAAGGCCATGAGAAGGTGGTGCAGATCCTGCTAGATCATAGTGCCGAGGTCAATACCCAGTGGGGTGAATATAACAACGCACTCCAGGTCGCCGCACAAGGAGGCTATAAGAAAGTGGTACAGATCCTTCTAGATCATGGTGCCGACGTTAATGCTCCAGGGGGTACAAATGGCACCGCGCTCCAGGCTGCATCAAGAGAAGGCCACGAGAAGGTGGTGCAGATCCTGCTGGAGAACGGCGCTGAGCCAGAACCAATTATCTGAGTCGCGAATGAAAAGGTTGGTAGGGTATTTGGACTATTTGGATGTCTTGTCTCACGGGAGTGTTCCTAGTGTGTCAATTCAACTCTTGCTTTCACGCGAATAATCATACAGAACCTCTACCATCGAAAGCCCCTAATTTCTCGTCATCCAACTTGAGGAGTTGGTGCTCTAGCACCTCCAAGCCGACTAGCGGTATTGTGAATATTATGATCAAATTCTCATTGCATACGACAACTTCCGTGCGACCCAATAATCTACGGCATAATAGGTATCATACTATGGGCAATACGGGATGCTGGGGATAAAGAAGCCCCGGTGATACCTTGCAAAAAGAGAGAGAGAGAGAGAGAGAGTGTGTGTGTGTGGAAGATCCAACTGCTAACGGAACCTGTTAAGACAGCGAAGACAGCGAACAAAATGTATAGGTAGTATGGGGATTTCAAGTAAATAACCATACCTCGTACTATAAGATGGTAGCGCCTCATAATACCTTTTTATAATGTAACACAAGCTAAATTTGATATATCGCAATGGGGATTGGGAAAGTTGGGATCCAAGACACCCTTCTGGGTGTGTATACAATGATGTAGTCTATGGTGCGCTGAATGCATTAGAGTTGCTCAATCATTATGTAGATGCTGAGGCCGCCGAAAGATTAGTGCGTATTCAATGAGCACTTACTGCGTACTCAATAAGTGTCGCTCATTCTGAGCCTATCGAAGCATAGTCCCGCTGGAATTCGGATCTCGTATTGGGATAGGTATTGGAGAGGGCTTCTTTTTTCATTGACTGTAAGCGCTATGCATATATGCTGATCGAAATCCAGGGGTTTATGGGACATTGCTACCTGCGTATATCTGACGATAAATTTGGGGACGCGATGTTTGTTGTATATTGTCTAAATCAAAAATATGAGCCAAAAGGATTTCAGTAATCACACATTTATATTAACAGGGGTATCTCAGTGAGGCAATAATGCTTAAATTTCTGCAAAGATGCGTTAGGCACAAGTACAAACCACTTTTTGGTCGAGTCTTGTTGGCTCGCCGGCGTCATAAACATCTAAACGCCCTGGTACACGCCACGAGAGATAAGGGACACCTCGGGCGCTTCCTTCTCCAGCACGGCGATGATCTCCTCCCAAACCTTTTCCTGTAGTTCTTCTCCCTCAAGACCAGTTGTCAGGGCAGTTGACTCACTATAAAATTATTAGCAATGGTAACACCAAAACGTGGTGAAAGATTGTCTTACTCAAGATAGCCCTCACTGCGCCAGCATTTCCCCTGTGATTCAACTCCGAGGAGAGTTGCGCTAACCAGTGAACGGCTTCCTTGCTCCGTAGTCCGCGCGAACAGTTTATGCATAACCCAAACGAAACACTTCTCCCACCAATGAGTATACTGGCGACCCAAAGCCGAGATGCACAGCCCGGGGCTGACGGTATTAACAACGAGGGTATGAGCGCCGTCGTCATCACACATCATATTGGCGATATTCTTAATCACGAATTCAAGTAGAAGCTTCGAAATGCCGTACTGCTTGGGACCCTTGAAGTTGGCTGGGTTGTTGACGTGAGCGAGTAGCGAGTCATCGGTCCGGACGCTTTCAGCCTTGACGCGAACAAATTGTTGACTTGAAACGACGGTCAGGTGTGCGGGGTTCTCGGGATAGGAGCTTTTCTTTAGCTTGGGAAGTAGAAGTAAGGCCAACATCGAGGTCGATAGTGTGTTGACTTGTAGAGTCTCTTCCCAGCCCTCGGAGGATTGATTGTATTCTCGATTCCATAGACCAGCGTTAAGTAAAGCGATGTCGACACGGTCAAGCTCGCGATTGACGCGTTCAGCGAAGCCTTTGACGCTTTGGAAGCTGTTCATCTCGAGTTCCCATACTTTGATCACGTTGCGTCGGTTAGTGGCCTTTTCGAGGTCAGCTTTGGCCTTGTTGCCTTTTTCCACATTGCGAGATCCTATGATGAGAGACTCGACGCCGAGATTGAGGATTTTGATGGCTGCTTCGAAGCCAAGACCCGAAGTGGCACCTGTCAAAATGACGATCTTCCCAGCGAAGGACACGCCTTTGGGATCGATGGGAGGGGTGTACTGCATCTTAAGGAGACGAAGGAGGGCTGCCATGATAAAAACCTTGATTCAAAACTTTTTAAAAAGAAATTCAAATAAACAAAATACCAAGCGTCCGAGGCGCGTCTGATGGTTGTTTGCGGAAGAAAAAGAAGCCGATAACACCAGGGTCGATAAACGATAGCGATGGCGATAAACGATAAGGATCCGATAAGAATGTGACGATTGGCAGGCAAGAAGGCATTGTTTGTAACTAGTACATACACAAAATAAACTATGCACGGATGTTTTGTGTCACAACACGTAAAAAGACCTAATGATAGTAGTATGATTACCGAATATCGAAGTTTGCCGAGTCTAGTTCGCTTCTCTTATGTTGAACTTTGCCATACTGCAGATCAATGCCAAGATGAGTAGAAACGTCCCCGTTTGAGCATGATAATTCTCATGATGCATACATAGATAAGTAAGATCTGTCCGCAATTTTTCCAAAACAAAAGCCTCATACCATCCGCTCTTCAACCGTAGCTTCCTTTGCCCGGAATTCCTTCCACACCCACATCGACGCATTACCCGATATAGTTTCACCATCCCGCTCTGAAAGGTATATACAATACTTCTGGCAACCCTGATCTTCTGATATCTGCCAAGGATCCCCATGATCAGACGTAACCCTCCGCAATCCGAGAAAGAAGCGACATTGGGAAAAAGGCACACTGGGAAAAGAAAGCTTGACCAAGGGACTGTTCATTCGGATCAACCATAACCGTCTCGTATCGAGCGAGAATATTTGAATCAGCAAAAAGACTTGCGACGCCGGCAATGCTAGACAGTTTCTTTGGCAAGATGTGATCCGTGTTCATGAGAATGGAACTGACGATATACCCAGCACGAGGATAGAAGCGAGAAGTGCTTCAAGAACGCGTGTTGACGCTACGCCTTGCGACAAACGCAGTCAGTTCGACAGAATAATGTTCCCGGACAGAGGGGCGTGTTCCCAGCGTGTCGTCTGTCCCACTGCGAGAGTAATTGTCGAATACCTGTGCCCTGAAAATCCTATCCTGGTGACTGATTGCCTTGATGACCATCCATCGTAGGTCCAGTGGGGGAAAGTCAGGTTCTTCTGAAGATTGTCTTTGGCAACAACGATGCTGGAACTTTGATCAGCATTTGCTGAATTACCCATGTAAGAGGTGGTCTCTTGGATAAAATTCATACTGATTTGGTGCGATACCTCGATTGCAAAGTACAAGCCACTCGCAATGATGACTAGGAACGAGGTAACCAAGGCAGCTAATCCGGTAGCTAGAACAACAAAGTGCTGTGCACGGATTGAACGGATGATGTTGGTGATGGCGAGTGAATCTAGATAATTCACCGTCATGGATTCCTTGATAGCGCACCGGTGCGCCATTTCAACCGCGCGTAGGGTGCGAGGCTTCGGGTGTTGAAGCCCATTCTTCCGAAGTGAAGACCAACGCTAGCCATGACTAGCGAGGGAAGAATCGTCCACAGATAATGCTGGTGATCATTGGAAGATACATTGCCCAAGCGGTCGTTCTTCTCCGAGACACGCAATGCAATCTCCAAGGCCGCAATAAGTAAAGCGACTACAATAAAGATGATACCGCGAGCAATGAGGCTAGGTGCCCAGGCTGGCATATAATTTTCTTGGTCGTCGAGCTTTCTAATATCATCTCCTTCTGTCTTGACCGAGAAGCCCTTAGGCGTAAGTTGCGAATAGTAGCGCCGCTCTTTTCGACTATCACGGAGCGCATCTGGTGAATCCACACCTTCTGCGAAGTGATTGACAAATTCCGTTGCTTTTTGTCACGATGGCGGCAACAGATGAAATGGAAGTCGGGTTCTAAGGTGCAATAGACATGCGTGGCCCTAAAAGGAACATGGAAACGGCGAGTAAGATACCTAGTATTAGGCAAACCTCCATCACACGAAGTGAGAGCTGGGCCATGACGATTTGATTTTCATTGATAATAGCCTAGCCGATAGCTGATGACTGACTTTTCCGTCTCAGTTCTTTGTTCATAAGCTGGGCAGCCATTGCGCGATAGTAAGAAGAAGCCCCAGTATCAAGTGCGCCATTCTCGAAGAGCTTTTCAATATTGTCAGTGATGCCAGCATGCTATGCGCCGAGTTGTAAGACGACAACGACATATGTCTTATGAAATGGATCATCGGCTATCTCAGGGCTTGTTCTACATTGAAAGTGTTGGGATGTCTCATCCAGCGCGCAGATGGCGGAATGCCCAAGAACAAACATTGCAAACAAAATGTATGAGCAATTCTGGGCCACTTCAACATTTCGAATGTTCATACAGAGTTGTGATCGAATTCAATATATAACAACTTCCCATCTTTAGCACACTGTTTGAGCCCTGAATTTTCTTCTCTGGTTGACTCGCTACTGCCCGCAAATATTAGCCCAGGGGCCGTCGCCGGAGCGAATTATTAATCCATCCCCCTCCCTGGATCTCGGGAAGGTTGAAAGGTGCAGCCAATAAACTCATTGGACCGTATTTGGCATTGGTATAGTTGTTATGTCTGCCGTTGCACAAGGACATCAGGTCCATCCAGACGGTCGGACGTGGAAGAATCATTTTCCCAAGGGTGATCTCTGGGTATTTGGTTATGGGTGAGTTAATTCATTGTTCTGGAATGGTGTCGCCGAGGCGTCGAATATGGAATACTGATTATTTTATAGGAGTTTGATCTGGAAACCGCCTCCACACTACGGTACGCGAGACTGCCATATGAAAGTGCTCAATGGCAGCACTCAAATGAGACATCGTATTGGTTGTTTCTGACCAAGAGTCAATCGACTAACTATATCGTCTAGACCAGCGCGTACCAGGCTATATCAATGGCTATGTGCGACGTTTCTGGCAGGTGCGTGGACCCTTGCATTGAAGGGAGGGCTCTATATTTGCCCACGTTCGACATGACCAGACTAACATTGTAATTATTTCTATGAATTATAGGCTAGGTATGTTGCCAATGTGTGCATTAAACAGGCATAGCCATTGAAATCTGTCAAGAATTACAAATCGCTAACATGCTCCCCAAAGTACCGATCACCGCGGAACACCCGAGCAACCAGGCCGAGTAGTCACCGTAATCGAGCGAACCTTCTGGGAGACCTTGGACGACCCGGTATGGTCCTACCCGCTCTATTCCACACATCCATATTAACATGTCCTTAGCTCGCCCACCTAGAATCTGAAGCATCCACCACAGGCAAAGTCTGGGGTGCAGCATACCACATCCCAGCCTCCCACGCCGAAGAAGTCCACGACTATCTCGACGAGCGAGAGATCGATGGGTATAGCGCGCACTACACGCCCTTCCACCCAACAGTAGACATCGAAGGAGCCGCCGGCTCAACCGGGTCCGCTCCAATCATCTGCATGCTCTATGTCGGTCAGCCGACTAACCCGCAGTTCCTGCGTGACGCAGCTGATCGCGAGCCGCAGAATGTAGCACAGGTTATTAGTGCTGGACATGGCTTGAGTGGGAAGGGTTCTGAGTATTTGTTCTTGTTGGAAAAGGCTCTTGAGGGGCTCGGTCTTGGGACTGCGGATGTTCATGTTACTGATTTGGTTAAGAGGGTTAAGGCTATTGAGGCTGAGGGGCTTGCGGAAGCTGAAGAGGAGGAGGCGGGATTGAAGGTTACTAGGTCTTTGGAGGGTTCGGCTGAAGGGTCTGATCGTGAGAATGGCCGTGCGACGATTGAATGAGATATATGGGTTGAGGATCTGTTGATGACTTTCATGTTTTTATGCTGGGACATAGTATAGGTTACATATTTGCCTAGTAGAATAGATAGACCGGGAAGGAAGCGATTGAACAGATGGCATCGGCTCTTGTTCGAAAGGTTGTGGGGGGTGCTGTCAGTGTTCTCGTGGGTGATGAATCGAACCACTTAAGCCCACAAACTATTTACTATCTTACTAGCTATGTATGCTTTGGGCAGTAGCAAATACACTGTTTCCACACTACGGAGTGTATGGGCTCTGGAGTAATTCTGGTTTTGTTCGATCTTGTTATAGAGTACTTTAGGTATCTCTCGGTTTAGACTATTCCTATTCCTAGCCTGGACGGAAATGCCTTTTTCCACAAAGCAAGGATGCCCGACGGGAATTCTGTCTCGAAATAAGTGTAATTGTCGCCCAAAATAATAGAACATTAGGTAGAAGCGATAAGCGATAGGCGATGCCTGATTTTTCCGTCAAAATAACCTCGTGGTTGTGGTACATAGTTCGGTTCATCACCCGTAACCCTTGCTGGATAGACTCAAATTATGCTTAAATATCCGTCAAATCACTGGCCTTCATCTGTGTACCCCGTTATAGGAATGATATGCCGTGAAACTCAAACAAGCATTGCAGATCTGAAACCACATGGGTCTGTCTGCCAAAGAGAAACATGACCTCAAAAATTTCTTAGGCGAGATAGGTCGAAACGCAATCGTATAGAAGCTCAAATCTGCAACCAATAAAGCCAATGCCCGAGCCAGAAAGCCCAAATTCCCTTCCTAACAAGTCGGGCGTAAAGAAAAATAACAATCCCCTGTTACAAAATTCAAGACTAGGGTATCACCCCGCTATTCCCAATTCATCTTCCACCATATTCCGGTCGTAGATCGTCACTTCTTTTAGAAGGAATTTCCGAAGAAGAAAGGCGCATAGAGAGGAGATTAAAAGACATCATCTAATGGTGACCGTCTTGAGGAGCCTGCTCGTGGTTGTTCCCGCGCCAGCCTTTTGGATGTCAGTTAATGTCGCCATCGAGATAACAGAATAGCTCACCTCCACCACCGCCATATCCGGTATTTGGGCCACCACCTATATAATTAATTAGCAAAAACAACAAGAAACGTTTAGATAAAATAAAAATAAAAATAAAAATAAAAACTCACCATAACCGCCGGGACCAGCGCCGTAACCAGCGGGACCGCTAGGGGCATAGTTGTTGTAACCACGGTTGTAGCCCCCGCCGTATCCACCGGCAGCGCCGTTGTTGTACCCGCCATTGTTGTAGCCAGCGTAGCCACCCGCACCACCTGCACCTGCACTTGGGTAACTGGACTGGGGCTGGGAGTTGTATCCACCACGGCCCTGGAAGCCACCTTCGGGGCGTTGAGGGCGGTCGAACGCCTTGTCAACGCGAATGACCCGTCCGTCAAATCTGAACATGTGAGATTTCTCTTGAACGCATGAATGTGAGGTTGATAGATTACTCTTGATTGTTCATGGCCTCCAAAGCAGCATCCGCCTCGGCGTCAGTAGCAAAGCGGACAAATCCGAAGCCGCGGCTACGCAAAGTCGCACGGTCCTTCACAACAATCTGTGGACAGTAGAGTCAGGAGAAGCTCAAGAAATGTTAAAGTGTGCGTTGCCCATGGCAGACTGACGGCTTCTTGGATCTCGCCAAATTGCTGGAAACCCTCGCGCAAGGTGTCATCGCTAGTATGCCAAGAAAGGCCGCTAAATTCCATCGCAGCGACGGTTAGACTGGCTCCTACTAGCACAAGTATGTTCCTAGATAGAAAATACGTACTGAACAAAGAGCTTCGACATCGTAATAAAGATCTAACAAAGGAAGCCGGAAGAAAGGCAAACGCTTGAGCTGACTTGATCCGAGGAGAAGATGAGGGTTGAGGAAAGGAGATCAAAAAGGAAGGATAAAAATCGGAATCCGTCCGGGCTGTGAGATGACAGGGGAGATCCTAGTGGTTAAGAGGCGAGTCAGCATTCAGTTCCGTGTAACAATCACACTGCGTTAGGGCTTCCGCATTGCCGGGAATTTTCCACTGGTCGGACGCCAACGGCAAGTCCACAACGAGCAAGATCCATGCTGACTGTGTCTTTGTTCTGGGAGCTTAACCAGAGTGAGAAAAGTCCGGGCTTAACCTCAGTACCTCCGAAGTGGGGGAGGGGATGCTGCAGAGATAAACACGCCAAAGCCAGTCCCACCGGCCTAAACCTTCTGATTGAATTGCGGGTCGGGCTTGTCAGTGATCAATCAGATGGTATCCGAGGCTCCGTTTGGATTGGCGGCAAGGCAACGGCCGATGTACCTTTGTTTGCCCCTCACTTGATTGAAAATGCAATTTCTGCGTTGTTTTCATAGGGCTGGATGAATATCGGGATTCCCAGGATTCTATTTACGAATCCGTATACGGGATACAAATCAAACCCCATACAACATACTTCTTGTCCACGAGGGGGTTATAAATCCATTCGTGAAAGCAACACTATCTTGGGTGGAGTCTCCACGCGTGGTGGAATTTTGGTAGACCCCGTACCTCGCAGGTCTATGCATGATTGGTTGTATGCGTGTTTATGCATTGTGGATTTTTTTCTCATTCGGGAATTGACTGTTAACAGTTGAGAATGATGAATGATCTAGCAATGTAGAAGATCTACATTCGATTACTACTATAGGTCTGGCCTCTCGGGTCTGGCCATCGCACAAGTGGTTTTGGGCGTGAATTCGAGCAGAGGGGCAGTGCTCCGTTGGCCCACATGCGGCTTGGTCCGTGGGTCGCGTACTCCATATGCCGGGAGAGATCCCGGGAAATGGGGATCAGCGGAAAGGGTGTGTCTATACAATGTTGACATCTCTAGTTGATGGAAGAGCATCGGGGCATGGCACCGAAAACCTTTGAGTAGAAGCAAATCAGAGGTGGATCGACTAAAGGAACCGTTCCTATGAAAGGGCCGAGAGAGAGAGAGAGAGAGCATCAAAAGAGCAAACATTGGGAATTTATAGAAAAACGAAGAAACAATGAAAAGTCAGAAGTTGAGACGGCCGCGCTTTCCTCGGCGGTGACTAGATTTGTGTGCTTTCATATCACCTCACTCTGTCTACAACATAGTCGCCTTCCCAAGTTTACATTTGCATTTCTGCAGATACGAGATACGACCTAGTCTCAAATTTCTAGGAGCTTTCTTGATGGAGAGCAATAATCCAATTTATCAGTGGCTTTCCACTGTGGAGGACCAGGAACAAAGTCGCCATCAAGGTGAAGGCATGTTGTAAGAAATATGAAGCTTCCACGCTAACATAGCTTTAGCTGAGAATCACGTTCAAGTGAATGATACAGCTTTTGCAGCGAGTATCCCACGAATCCGCATCCCACTTGAGATATCTGACAGCGCGCTTGGGAATGGACATTCGGCTAGCAGGAAAAGAGCTTCGAGTCACCTTGAGGAAACCAAAGCACCGTTCACTCACAAGACCATACCAGGGAATGGGAGTCACAAGAAATCGAGAGAGAGTTACGAGTTAAAACCAAGACACAAGACTCGCGAGGATCGCTATGAGTACAAAGGCCTATCATCGGCTGTGGAGACCCAGTCGCAGTCTCGCAAAGGGAGAACCAAGAAACCCCGGGGCAGGAGGCACACCATGAACGATGACTTCCATGCCGTCAATATCACAGGAAACAGATTGACCGTAAGTAGGCTTCTGCACAGTCTCGCTACATGTTACTGACTCCAAATAGCTGCGCAGCAACACAAACCTGGGTATCTTCAGCAAGGGACGGTCTTCTTCTACAACGAATCACCTCGGAAATACTCCGCCTACTCTTGCAAAACCTGCAGCAACCATCAACCTACATAATTTTGCCGCACAATCTGATCTTGCCTTTTCTGAGATGAACTTTCTGTCCCGGAGGAATAATCTCAGCCCGTATCCCACATCGACCGCTAGGGACACTCTGGATGGACAGTATGAAGAGTACCATCCACAAGCGCTGCAGTTCGATGATACTGAAAATAATACCAAACTCGACATGTCCCACTCAAACAACAAGTTGCTTGGTGTGAAACGCCAACTTGGCGCCTCACTCACGCCGTTGTTCACGTTTGGTAAAGCGCCCACCAGCGAGATTTCCACAGTTTCCAACCACTCTCGCAGTGCTTCCCCCGTATTTCACAGTAAACGAAGGAAGGTAACAAAGGAATTATGGTCTATTCCATACACTTGGACGGAAACTGAGATCGACACGGAACAAAGTGATGCTCTCGAACAACACCTGCTGAACCTGCTGCATGTCGGAGTATACCCCCAAGCGCTATGCTCTGAGATCAGAGACAATGTTTTGGTCAGACGGTATTGGAGTCTTGCTGAATTATGGAAACTGTTGGAGGAGAGAAAGGCAGCATGGTCAAACGAAGCCGGCAACAAAAAGCGAGCTTCGCACGACGCCAACATGAGACAGCCAGCTGCAGCCGAAGCTGCTCCACGGGAGATTTCCGAGATCAATGCACCAGACCATTTGGAAACCGTCAATGTCGGTAGTGTGGAAAATAAGATGTCCAAACAATCCCCGGATTCGAACATCGCTTGTGAAACTGCTCGAAGTGTGAACGACGATCCACCCGAACAACCTTCCATCCTCGAGCAACAGCAAGACGGACCACTTCAAACTTCAGAAGAACAGGGTTGTGTAAATTTCGAGGCTGCCAGGATATCAAACAGCCCAAATCGTTTCATGGAAAACTTGAACGAAGATCAGTGGGAGCTCTTTCCTCAGGAATCGGCAGAGGATGCAGTCATTTTTCCTGCATCCGTACTAGAGGTCAAACAGCCCCATATGTCTGACTCTGAGTTCTATGAGCTGGGTCCACTCGATGATGATGCGTTCTATCGCACATTAGATGCTGCTTACCGTGCCATTGTGCGCCCTGAAATTGCGGCGGAAGTTGCATCAAACTTACAGCAGTTACTTGACTCCCCTGAACTAAATGGCAATGAGCTTCCGGATAGTCCACAGTCCGACATTCCTACCCGACAGGTAGAGATGCGGGACTCAGAGCATTTAGCAACGGCCTCCCGAGACATCATACAAGACCGGTATGACGAAAGACCACCTGAGCCTTTTTTCCAACACGGACTACCCACGAGTCATTCGAACGATCCTTTTATTGGTCAGAACAATGATTTGCCATGGCTGACTGGATACGGCCGGTCACAACCTCGCGCGCCAACTGAAATCAACACGCGACAGAATCAGCCTGCAGGATTATCCGATTTCTGGCGACAGAATAAACTCTATTGATTCTCATCGGCAACGTGATTATCAAATTGGACAGTCAAAAGCGTCAATAGAAAGCTTAATCACATTTGCACCAATCATCCATCATATTAAAAACAAAGTAGCGTCAGCTCCATGTACATACCTAGCTAGCTTGAATTCAGCTGTCAATAGAGATTCTAAGTTTCTTGGGATTCAAGATAGTGTGCATGGGGGCAACCCCCCCCCCCCCCTTCGAGGTCGTATGATCAGGCCAGAGCCAGTAACAATGATTGGGCTAATTCAGTCAGAGATTGACTTGACACCTTATATCTAAATCAAGCCCCCTAACATTTTAACCACCAAATAGAACACACAAGTCAGTAATGGTTTAGACGGCACGCTGTTGCGCTGGTTTATCGATCTTGATGAGGGTTGAATTCATTGGGTATATAACAGTCTTGGACAGGGGAAATTAAACACATCATCAGATGGCTCAGATCCAAATGCCTGTCTCTATTTAAGCTATGAAGCTGACCTATCCATATGTGCCGCCGTTGGACGAAGAACAATTGTGAACCACGATGATCGAAGGCCAGGGAACAACACTGGATTTGATTCCGGGTACCCGTGCAACGCTAGATACAACCAGCGCAAGGGTTATTTGGAATTTAAATTTGATGAAGCAATCTGGTAGCTTTGGGGTGGTGGATATGTTGCGGAGTCCACGAAAATAAGTCGGGTCGGTCTTGTATAGGGATTCGAACGCTGAGGTGGGTGGTACGGTTGACAACGGCACGCTTGATAAAAATGACATGCAGCAAGTGCTTACAAGGCGATTGGGACTGTAATCTATCATAGAGTCGCAGCTGCCTCGATCGCACCCGTTGCTTTGAAGGCGGCCGGGTTCCGCATCACCACCTCAACCGGGTACTGCCACTGCATGAATCGCGTCCAACCTAGAGAGCCAACCATTTAGCAATTTATTCTTTTATATAGAAAGAAAGATTGTGAAGCTTGTTGGTGTCACATACTCCAATATGCGCATCGTCGCCCTAGGTATTTCCCAATGAACGGTACCAGGACCATACTCAGAAGCAGCTCCAGTTGTTCAATGCTTTCTTGCCATTCTGCCTCTGCATCAGAGGAATATTCGGACAAGGTATCCAAGTCGGACTCGGTTGTAGATTCTGAAGGGAGGGAGGCGAGCTCATCGTCGGACTCGGAGTATGAGTTCTGTCGGGAGGGGACCATGTACGCGGACATCGAGAATGACGGATTTGAGCTGTCTGGAGAGGGAGAAGACATGGTGGAGATTGCTGTAAAGAGACGTGAGGGTGAGGAGATGAGAGGAAGCGATAGTGATCAAGCAGCGGCCTGCCTACTGCGGTTATACGTAAATGTGAGAGCAACCAGGTGTTTGCCTTGATCGACCGGCACCGCCAAGCTGCGTAATCATCAGCACGTGACCATGTAATCTGGTGACTCAGTTCAGCGTCACGTGCCCGTACCGCGATAACAGAATCACCTTCTGGCGTGGCGATATCAGATTTCAGCGATAATTTTACCATTTTGCACTCTTGCTCTAGCTCTTTGCATTCACAACAATCTGAACTCATCTCCAACAAATTGTGGTGGAGCGAATAGCATCTTTGAAGCCTCGAAACATGGCGGACGCTGTACGTCACACACCCTGGTCTTTTTACCGACCCTCCCACATTTTCTTTAAGTCTGCACAATATCGACCCCTCGGCCGCCAACCACAGTGATCCAAGAACACACATTGTTGAGCCCGGGGTTAAGGACTGGTACTTTTATTGAAAAGCCAGGCTATACGATATCTTCTGCTTCTTCTCTTTTTTCTCAGAACTAACACCGCTTTTTGCCGCTCCGCTCAGGAAATCGAAACTAAACAGCGCAAGTCGGTCGCATTCAGCGAAGGATCGGTCATCATGGATACCAACGGCCAAGTCACAGATGCTCCTCCGGCTGAGAAGCCCACAGGCGGTATGCAATAGCTCTCCGATCCCAGGCTCAGTCCCCCCGTTCGCTTTTACCACAGCCCCACTAACGATTTCTTGAATATACAGAGAAGGATGTCGACGAGGTCACCGAGATGTTCAAGGGACTCTCAAAAAAGAAGAAGACCTCCAAGAAGTCTAAGACCGCCGACGTTGGCGATGACGAGGAGGCCCCCGCCGCCGCCGATGGCGAATTCGATCCCTCCGCCCTGAAGAAGAAAAAGAAGAGCGGCAGCAAGTCTAAGAAGGCCGACCCCAACGACTTCGATGCCAAGCTCGCTGAGGCTGGTATTGCTGAGGAGGCTGGCGAGGATCAGCCCGAGGAGCTGCCCGAGGGTGACCTCGAGGCCGGCACCGGTATCTGGGCACACGACGCCACACAAGCCATCCCCTACTCGCTCCTTGTCTCCCGCTTCTTCTCCCTCATCGAGAGCCACCACCCCGACCTTCTGTCCAGCGGCGCCAAGTCCTACAAGATCCCCCCGCCTCAGTGCCTGCGTGAAGGTAACCGTCGTACTATTTTCGCCAACATCGCCGATATCTGCAAGCGCATGAAGCGAAGGTTCGTTATGCTCCTTTCCCCCATTTATTCGTTGATATCTTTCTAACTGTTTTTGTTCTAATTAGCGAGGAGCACTGCACCCAATTCCTGTTCGCCGAACTCGGTACATCAGGCAGTGTCGACGGTAGCCGTCGTCTGGTCATCAAGGGAAGATTCCAACAGAAGGGTATCGAATCGGTTCTGCGTCGCTATATTGTTGAGTACGTCACATGCAAGACGTGCCGCAGCCCCGACACCGAGCTCAACAAGGGAGAGAACCGTCTGTATTTCGTTACTTGCAACTCTTGCGGATCCCGTCGTTCCGTCGCCGCCATCAAGACCGGTTTCCGTTCCCAGATCGGCCGCAGAAAGCGTGTGGGCTAAGTGGATGGAGCTGTGCTGGCAATTTGCGAAGGAAGGGCTTGTTTTTATCTCTTCCTTATGGCGTGTCACTTACTAGAGCTTTTGCTGGGTGGAAATATGGCACTGTTGCCTTGGTTTTTACCCTGAGGGGCTTGAGATGAGGAAACGATTTGAAGAATAAAAAGTAGTTTCGCATGCAATGGACTGATATCACTATATCTTGCCTTTTTGAAGCTGTATGATATTGCATCTAGGTAGACGTTTAGAGGTAGGGTAGAATCGCCATCGTTCATTGGTTTATAAGGAATGATATCTCGAACTTATTGACGAATGCTGGTATAACAATGTGAAATATGAAAGATAAATGACATGAATGGGCGTATTTGTCCACTTGACAACTTGATATAACATCCATGGAGACCTGCTCGCGATTGGGCCTTCACCTGAGGCATAGGGTAAGTATACAACAACAGCACATCGGCTAATGTCAGATTGGGAAGCAAAACGTATTTGGCGGAAATAAAATCAAAGTATCGAAACTCCAACTGCAAATTGCTCGCTCTGGATTTGTTTAACTGGACTCAACCACTGGCGGTGCTGATTTTCATCTGGGCAGCAAAAGCGTTGAGGTTTCTGGTTTGCAGATATACGGTTCCCGGGCCTTTGAATTTGCAAGCCAGTCCTTCTCCAGAACTGAAACTAGAAAGCAGACCACCGGAGGCAACCCGCTCAATGTCGTATTTGCAGTTCCATGCAACAAGGTGACCATTATCGATGAAGTAAGCTTCCCCTTCCACAAGCTGTATGATAAACATGTATCAGTAGAGTAATGATATAGACAGCAGGATGGGGGTGAACTTACATCTTTCTTGATGATTGCTCCAAAGCTTTGCAGCCAGAACAAGCCCTGACCCGTGAACTCGTAAATGAAAAACCCTTCTCCGGAGAAGAACCCTTTGCTCAACCCCTGAGGCTTGTATTCGTGGTGAACACCAGAAGTGTGGGCTAGGAAGGAGTCCCTTCCGACATTCCATTTGTCACCTGCATTGATCTCATGGACAATAATATCTCCCAACATAGGGGGCGCAAGAAGCAGCTCACCCGGGCCCGTGTAGTGTGACATGGTCATGCTGCCACCGATGAGAAATTTCTTTACCGAGAAAGAAATGCTTCCTCTCAGGGTTATCGTTGGTGACATTGAAATCATTACACCTATTGCAAGGTCAGTTTACTTGGACACTAACGAACGAATGAAAGCGACACAGTGGACAGGGATTTATCAAGGTATTCTCTTACCTGGCCTGGCAGTCAAAGGACAACCCATTGCCAATTGTACTGTCAAAATTGAGTTGGTATCTCGGTGGCTGATTCTGTAACTGCCTCCATTGAATGTCCCAACATCATCGGCACTGTTCGATTGTACTCCAACGAACTTTCCATACGCCGGTGCACCTCCGGGGATCTTTTCCATCGTTACTGTCGGTGGAGTTTGAGATGAAATTGAGAGCCGGCCAAGAGACTGGTTTTGATTGAATGCTGCCTGGTTTCGCTCGGCAATCTGATCACGGGGCGGTGGACTGGCTGATGGGGGAGCTGGATATCCCCCATTGGAATAAGCATGTTTGTTTGGTGGTGGGCTCACTGGATAACCCCCATTTAACGGGGGTGTTTGCCTGGGGGGTTCAGCGAAGTATGGTTGATTGGGCGGTGTAAATGCTACTCGGGACGTTAGTATGACATTTATTGGGACTGAGAGCATCCATATTAATTACATGTCTGAGTTGGAGGAGCTATTTAAGTCAGTCGGCCTGTAAGTGTTTGCTGGGAGTTATGTGCTTACCAGACATAGGCGGAGGGGGATATTCATGTTGCTGTGACATGATGAAAATCAAGCTAGGCACAGGAAGACTATATGGAGGCCAATTGAACTGAGCTGCTCAATGATCAGAATGAGATTCCAGCTGCTGTCGAATGACACTCACGAGCTTCTTAGGCTGCGGGGTAGGAAATGATGAAGTGTGGACAAGGTAACTTTCAATGAATAAAATAAAAATTGTAGTCTCTTGCTTGGCGAAGTTAATTGGGATTTTGAATAGCCTAGGGGTGGTTATCAGGTTTGGAGAAGAAGCTGTCTGGGAGGAACTTCTTGTGGCGGGCCATTCTTTTTAAAGAGCACAACTTCAACTCCGCACTAGAACGTCCAGGGCTATAATTAGACCAGAATTGGCATAGGAAGCGATCACCCGTGTGACAGAAAGGACTCAGTGATAGAGAGTCAATTTCTTATGTACTCCCAGTCACATCCGACTACTGCATGCTCATCCCCGCCGAGCGCTTAGCAGCTCCCCTCTGCCCCTCCATATATGCCCCCTGCACAACTTGATAGGTCAGCTCCACAGACCACCCGACTCAACCGGCAATTTTCATTGGCCACTCTTTAATACTCCATAGAGGCCAAGGGGAATGAAACTTTGAGAGCCGGATGAGTGTGGGCTCGGGGCCTCAGTATTACCATTAAAGATTCAGTCAGACAGTTATATAGCCGATACGATGGGGGATTGCTTGCATTGCAAATGGAGCGGGGAGAACAAATTATAAATGATGACTAGCTAGGCAGAAAGAAGAAACTTTCTATCAAAGAGGTCCTGGAGCCCAACCAGGTATCCAAGACGCCAACAAATTACGATGATGGCTCCAGTATGGCTATAGCCTCATCGAAGTTTGCTTCTTTTGCCATATCCAGGGCTGTCAGGCCACTGTCGTCTTTCATATGGACATCAGCTCCTTTGTCTAACAGCAACCGAAGCACTGGCACTGAATGTTCTCTAGACGCTACCTGCATAAGTGCAGTTTTGCCGCTGTCATTTTGAGCATTGATGTTTGCTCCATACTTTATCAACAGCTCGAGAACAGCGAGACTTTTCTCCGTTGCAGCCCAAAGAAGTGGTGTCAAGCCATCAGACCCGACTGACTCTGTCCCTGCACCGCTGGATAAAAGCAGCTCAGCAATGTCAAAATGGTCACTGGCCATTGCCCACCACAGCGCCGTCATCCCATGGTGGTCCAACACGTTCACGTTGGCTCCGTATTGAAGAAGCGATGCCGTAGCTGTAATATGTCCCCCATATACTGCTGCGATCAGTGGCCTTCCGTGGGAAGCCTTGTCACTGCCATTAGGATCGGCACCGTTGTCCAACAACATTACTATCCCCTCCACGTTTCCAAGTGCCGCTTGGTTAAACAATGCGGGACAACCTTGTATATCAGGGGAATCAATGTCGGTACCCTGTCGAAGAAGAATCTGCAGAGCGAAATGGGAGTGTTTGTTGGCCGCAAGAGAGTATCCAAGGGTGACAAGGGCCGGGATGTGCTCTCTCAACTCCAACCACTTCAACAAAAGGAAATAAATCAGACCGTGGTATTGGTTTTCGATGGCCCAGTCAAAGCATAATTGGTCGTCCTCTTCTTCTCCTGAGCGTTTGAACCCAGTATTCTCAAGATCTCGCACCGTGAGCCAATCTTGCATAGCGCGGATGCCGGTTTGGGTGGCTTCTGAATCCTGGCCGGTGCCAACAAACCCAGGCAAGCTCTCTGGTGCATTGAGTGACTTTAAATCTGGCTGCATGAAGCTCATTCCCGGAACTTTCGTTGAAATGATCCATGCGGTCCAGCCTAGTTGGCTAGAGAATGAGCGCCACCATTCAATACGATCTTGTGACATTGTCCAATCAGAAGGCAGTGATACTTTCTGGGCTTGAAGAAACTCCTCTCTTATATCTGAGTTGAGAAGCTTGCAAATCTGTGCCAACCCCTCCTTGCGAATAGTTTCATTGTTGTTCAATAATGCTCGGCGGCAAAGAGAACCTAACTCGTAGACTGACCGTTGGAATTGGGAACCTTCTGACCGTTGGCAGAGCCAACGCAGCAATGCAAACGCATCTTGCCATTTCCCCTGGCTTATGAGCCGTTCTCTCCGCGCTCTGACTTTAGCGCAGTCGGCTGCAAGATCAGGCAAAAGGTTTCGGTTCCTCAAAACAGGAACAATGCATAACAATGCATCCTCCCTTGTCCCAAGAGAATGGGCCTCAAAGCAGGATACCAGTTCATCAATTCGCGTACAGGAACCCAAAAGCGAGTTCTGTATACCGGAGACGACATCGACTTCCCCACCAAGCTCCTTCACGTTGAGACAAACTTCTTTGAGAAATTTAATGAAGATATCTTGGGCGGCCATTGTCTCTACTTCATTCTCAGTCCTGATAGCGAGAAGATCCCCCATCGGGAGACCTTCCTTAGGTTCAAAGCCGAATAGACGTCGAGAGTCATCAATCAGGTCGGGTGGCACTAGTCGGGCCTCTGTTTGTCGGAATATCCATTTGTGGAAGTAAAGATAAGTCTCTTCCTTTTTTGCCTCTTCTTCGCTTAGTCCAACAAGACGGAAGAGTCGCGAAAACCTATAATCATCACCAGACTTATACAAAGACCATGTCCACAGGCCTAGTATTGCTTCCAGCTCGTTGACTTGCATTTTCCATCGAAGAGCATCACCACAACGCATGAGACCAATTGAATATGTTCCCGGAGACTGTGTGACAGAACCTGGAGAAGAACTCCTGCACTCGAAGCCAAGTCGGAACTCAAAGGTCTTTCCGAGGTCAACTCCCCAACCGGAGATCAAATCCATAGTTGACTCGATTGTCTCTGCAAGGTTGCAAGCCATTTGTCGAATAGGCATTTCGTCCCAATCTGCGCCCATGCTCTGTCTTAAGCTAGTCGTGAGATCCGCCAGCTGGGTCCTAGTTCGAATTAATTGTTTGGCCAGAGGAGGTCCAAGATGGGGCGTGAATCTCGGCGAAGGCATGTTTGCTAGCCCACCAGGGACCGAGGCGAGTTCAAACGACTGTACTTTCTCGAGATAAAATGCAAAACAATCCATGTCTTGCTGTTTATGAGACGTGAGCCCCCGGTCGCCTTTCATCTTATTTTCATCTGGTGTCATTCGTTCTGTACGCAAAGAAGTTCGTATGATAGTCATTAGGAACGTTGATCCCAACTGGGCTAGGGTGACAGATGCGTGAAGGCCTCTCAGTCCGATGAATTGGAGAATGAATCCCAACATCGTCGATACGAGGGTAGAGTAAGTCTCCAAATACTTCGTGTCATATCTTCGATCCCTGATCGATTTGATATACCGAAGTTTCTTGGTCATTGAAGAATTGGGCCCTTCATTGACAGCCAAGAAAGCATTGAAGACCTGGTCGCCCACATCTTGGTTACCAGGCTGCAGCCAGTATATCTTGCTTGGCTTTTCTGCTTTGAGATAGAACTCCTTTGAGGAACGCTCCATGATAAATGCACAGAAGAACATTCCGAGAAACAGAAGGGTTGTGCCGATGATATAAAGTGGGAATGCGTATGAGGCGACGGCTTTGTCGTCTTTCTGGAAATGTTGGGGATACACAAATACCGTGAGTACAGCGTACATAATAGTGCCTTGGTGGGATCGTCAGTATCATTTCGGTCTTAAAGAAAGAGAAGTACTTACTGCTCTGTAATAAACCACCAAGTATTGCAGCACAATGGAACCAAAATTGGTCTCTCCTCTTGATTCCCTTGTTCAATGACAGATTAGGAATATCCAGTTCAGGCAATTCACTAGGTGGAACTTCGCCATCGCAAGACCAAGCCTTTTCTTTAAGGGCATCTTTTAAAGTGCCAATCTTTGTCCCCTTTTCTCCAGTATTATGGTCCACATCCTCCCAAGCAACTATCTCTACGATCTTGGGCCGGCCAAAGACTCGTGCAATACCGCCATCATTAAAGAGCTCCGCAGTTGATTCCGAGACGCAAGGAAGGAGTTCGCTTTCGGCTTCGGCAGGACCTTCTTGTGCTCGTCCGACGAATGCCTTGAGGGAAGAACTTCCGCATACCCTGATTACCGACACAACGGAAGTCAAGACTCCTAGTGGTGAAAGGGCGAAGATGACATTATCGAGAATGCTGATGGATTCGGAGAGGAATTGTTTCGTAAGTCGTTCACCGAACAATGTAATTAAAGGGGCCTTTGGTCGAAATATCAGCACATCCACTCCTTGCCTGATTCAGACAAGATCAATATAAACATACCAAGTCGGTAGCAAGATTATTAGTGAAATCATCCCAATCGTCAGCCTTAACAAGAGGAAACAAAGATATAAAAAAAAATATAGAAAGCATCATAGAAAGCTTCGTAAGTCATAACACATCAATTCATAATAAAACATATACCATGCAGTAAAACTACAGAACTAACAGGAAATCCTCAAATAACCGCCCAAACCACGCTCTCTTAAGAGAACACCCCTCGACCATCCATGCGCCATCGAGTGGGCATACACTGCCGATCCCCACTCGATTCAGAGCGAAGTCACAGAGCCCCCATGCTCGCGAGGCGCCTCCGTCGTGGCAATAATAGAGGGCCAATGATATCAAGAACACTATAATCATGGCTTTAATCTTGTCGGGATCTGAAACCCACTAGGCTACCTAGTGCAGGCGTGCAAGCGCAGGCTGTGCTAGCGAGTGTCGCCGTTGTCACTGCACTGTGCCGGCCCGCATGGCGCTATATCACGGACTGCGGGTCTCGATGCGGGCTTTTCTTTGACCGGCGCGTAAGTTATCCTTGATGCATGAGGGGCTTAAAAGAATTTAATATTTATAAGATGGCTGTGGGCTGTTATGCGGGGAGGGGAAGAAGGTTAGTGAAAAGGTTGGTTATCGGGCTATGATCATATTTTTTTGGGCACTTTCACTTCTTATTTTGGGGCTGTGGGATGCAGGGTTCATTGTACCCTAGCAAGGATGAGGAGATAGACAAGTCTAAGATCAGGAATATGTGCTCTCTCCTGCACTAAGGGGGTGTGGAACATGTCTGAGATCAACGGAAATTGCAGCTATGACAACTACATGGTCTACCCTGGCAGGTTGATGGTGGTGGCATTGTTGCAGGCAGATGGGGACTTTCGCTGTTATAGGATGGTGAATATTTCAAGGAATTGATCCTGCTAAGGTTGAGTTTCAGATTGAACACAGGGAGCTGTTGTATATTGCACTCGGTGTTGAGGTTCAGTTCGATTCCACTCTTGACACGTTTATATATATTTCTGACCAATTCATCAAATCCAGAAAAGAAAAGCCGAGACTGGGTACAGGAGGCAATGTAATCCATTTAGAGACTTGAATTAGATGGGAATTGATGATTGCTTATAGTTGGTGTAAATGTTAAGTCAATGTCAAGGCGAAGATTCTGAGATCTTGGCCAGATGATTTAGGCTACTCAATAGTCAACACCCGACCTACTTTGTAACAACCCCCTGTCTCCCGACCCTCCTTACTCTTGGCTTTTTCACTTCTCTTGTCATTCTGGAATTGTCTCCTTCAATCTCTCACACCTGCGTCTTTTCATAATGGCGGCCCCCAGCGAGTTCGCGTCTGCCATGACCACCCGGTCGCTCCGCATGGTCCGGACGGTATGGCTTCCCGGCATCCTGTTCCTGAAATGCGATCCAGGTACTAATTCAACATCATCTAGGAACTAGAATTCCTTGCCGATGCCTCGGTGATCACTCCTCGCCAGCTCTCCTCCATTCTATCACAGCTACCCACCGATTCCGAGGCCCCTCGGGCGTTGCACGTATCATCATCGCCGCCCCGGCAGCAGGCACAGCCTGCGCCAGCTCAACATGTTCCAGTTCAAGCACAGCCCCCTCCGGCCCCCTACACGCCCTCATACTCGCCTCCTGTCTCACAAATGGCCAATACGTCGGTGAATGAGAAAGCCTACTCGCAGAATCAATATGCAAGCCAGCCCCCGCAGGCCCCGCCAGCTTATCCCCAAGTCCCGCCCGTCCTCGGTCTCGCCTCGGCCATGTACGCATACACACCTACCGATGCTGGTGATTTGGCCTTGCAGCCGCAAGATCGCATCCAGGTTATCGAGCACATGAATGACGACTGTATGATATTCCCCTTTCCCCCCTGATATGGATGCGAAACTAATGATAAACAGGGTGGCGTGGTCGCAACGAGCGCACTGGCCAGGAGGGTATATTCCCTCGAAGCTATGTGAACATTGTGAATGAGAGGGCTGGTGTTTCTTCGCCCCCGCCTACAAACTATGGGAACATGCCTCTTGCAGTCAGCCAGAGTGGACAGCCTGAAAACCCCGATGACCCAAAGAAGAACAAGCTCGAGGAAGGAGGCAAGAAGTTCGGAAAGAAACTGGGAAATGCCGGTACGTCTTATATACCATTGGTACTCGTTATTTGGTTTTCTAACTTGATATTAGCAATCTTCGGTGCCGGTGCTACTGTTGGCTCCAACATCGTGAACAGCATCTTCTAATCATACCACCGGGCTCTTTTTGCTGGGCATTTTGCTTCGTATTCACTCTCATTGATACGGCGTTGGTGGTTTGAATTTTTGCTTTGAATAGATTGACTGGGCTCAATCAGCATCGCTTATTGGCGGGCTTATGGCCAAAGATTTCGGGGTCCCCAGTGTTCAAATGCTAATAGCTCTTCATTGCGATACGATCCTGACTTAGGGTTGTATGCATACTTATCTTAGTCAATGACTTTCCTGGTATTCTGGATCACATCAGAATTTACCTACATTTTGAATCATACAGCTACAAAGAACCTACCTATGCAGGTCATTAGAGCATCCGATGGACGTGAAACAAGAGAATAGGTAGAGATTCCGCTACAAGTTTACTCCATGAATCCGACATACAGCGAAAAGGGAAAAAGGGTAGAAAGCATGCGCTGGGGGTAGGAATAATGCCTAATGAATGTAGGGTGCGATGTAATTGCAACTCAAGCTGCAGACTGAACGGGAATATGACCACAGGCCCGGGCAGTTCTATGATGGAGTTGTCCACGGAAGATAGCAGTCTTGTCTTGCAAGACTTGGTAATTATACTGCCGTATATTTTCCTCATGGGCGATGGGATTTAGGCGCAACTGTTCAATGTACATAACTTCATATTGCTATATAAATCATCCGACCATGTTATCCAAAGGTGAAACCGTTGATATAAAATGGAAAGTATATAACTGACAAGAGACCAACATCCCTTATATTTTGCCCTTGGATTGAGTTGACAAGAAAAGCCAAAGAGTCTGTACTCTCAACTTGTCTCTACTTTGTAGACAAAGTAGGGCTAGCAATAATGTACAACATACGATGAGCAGAGGCTAAGCCTATCCTGGTGCCCGATCATACTCAGCCTCATCGTGGGGACCCGTGGCTGAAGACTCACTATGACTCTTGTGCTTACTTTGGTACAACGAGCTCCTAGCATGCCGTTTGAGGATGGCGATTGGTTTTTTCAAGGCAGATTTTGTTACCCTTCCATGATATCTGTGATTAGGGCTGGAAATGTGCGCAGAAGGCCTTATGACATCAAGTTGTGGGTCGAATAACATCATTGTCTTGCCGGTGGTTTGAAGCGGACTATATATATATTTTTTTATGTAAAGATGATCGGGGGACATTATATTGTTGAACTATCTATGCCTGTGTTAAATCTGACAATAATCTGACAATTGTCGCAACAGGAGTCTGGAATGTATGAAATAAGTGTGGATAATACAAGTGGCTGTGGCAATCGATGTGGTGGGGGAATTGCCAATGGGTATAGCGAACCCCTAAGACCTCATTGAAGTCCCCTAGAAAAGAGGCAAAGCCATGCAACAAACTGAAACAGTCATACAGAACTGATAGAAATAAATGATTTCAAATGCAAAAGAAAGCCGAGCCACAATATGAACAAGGGCAGGCGCCTTTGAACCAGATACACGCTAGACCCAAAACGGACTAGCGCGGGCTCCCCTCCCTCGAGAAGCTTCTGTGTCATCGATATAAATTGCATTTCTCTCTTGACCCTCACACGACCAACGTCATCTCCTTCCACGCTCAGCTATCATTCTCACCAACCTCAACCACCCACACCCCCAAAAACAACTTCCTTTCAAAATGTCTGACTGGGAAAGCACCACCAAGATCGGCAGCAAGTTCCGCGGAGCTGGCGCTCAGCCCCGCGAGACCGTCGTCAAGGGCAAGAGTGCCCTGAACGCTGCTCAGCGCTCCGGTAGCGTTTACACTGAGAAGAAGTACACCACCGGTAACCTTGTACGTGAAATCTGATTTGTAACCCCGAAAAATACCTTGGATATCCACTAACACACTCTCCAGGGCGCCAAGGCAGGTGCCCCCGAAGGCCAACACTTGACCAAGGTCGACCGCAGCGACGACATCGTCAAGCCCAAGACCATCGGCCACGCCGTCGCTGATGCCATCAAGAGACGCCGTACCGAGGAGGGCTACAAGATGACCCAGAAGGAACTCGCCACCAAGTGCAACACCACCATCACCATTGTTCAGGATTTCGAGCGTGGTACCGCCGCCCCCGACCAGAAGGTTCTCGGATCCATGGAGCGTGTGCTGAACATTAAGCTGCGTGGTTCAGACATCGGCTCTGAAAAGTTCCCCAAGAAGAAATAGATGGGGTTGAGTCCGTGGCCTCTATCCCTTCGGGGATGAGACTGGGGCAAATTCCAAAGTTTTTTCTGCATTTGCTTTTTTGCGCTCTATGACTGTCATGTTCCTTCTCCGTTTTCATGAGACGTCACTTTTTTTTTTTGTTTTTTTCTACGGGTTTCTTGTCTGCTGGTCGGATTAGCGCTGGCCTTGCATGGGAAACGGGTTTAGAGATATCATGAAAAAAAATTGTATAAATGAGATACCTCCCTTTTTGATATTATCAATCTGTTTTTCTACTTGTAAGTGTCATCTAAGCGTAAATTTGAGTAGTGGTTTCATGCCTCGCACATCATCATTGCACATAAAGGAAAGCTTAGCCTACATACGAAGTAGGCACTGGAAATATGCATACTGCGTTCCTACACAGTGATGCAGAACTATGCTAACAAGAATAGTTGGCCGCTCACCTGGCCTGATCATGTCTTTTTGGTCGTCTTTTTTAATATAGATATCTTGTCCCCCTTCTCAAGCATTCTAGAAAAGGGGATAGAAGCGGTAAGAGGCTGGAATGGGCTTTTCAATATATAACCTTTGATTCCAATCCTGTTATTCTTTAGACCGACCGTCTAAACGCAATTTGAAGATTTGCAAAGCTTTGATTTTGTCTATTTACCCGATTGTCATCTCTTTTGCGGAGGACCAGGACAGACATAAGAGCTCAAAAATGAACCATGTCATCTTTTTATTAAACAAAGACACAAACACAAGGTACCAACTCCGATTGATCATGGAATCAATGAAATGAGAAAATCGTGGACCGGAAGGTCATCCCATTCCGTATGCGGGACTCGGGGGATCTGTCCCAAGTCTTTTCGCCTCGTAAACACATACACACGACGCATCCCAACTTTCTTCACCACATCCCCTCTTTACTTCCGCGCTTGCTCCCGCTCGACCTCGTACATGAAGTCGAAGTATGACTTGTCGAAGTGGTGGACACGGACGTATCCGTCCTCACCACCGGAGGCGTATGCGGTACCGGAGGGGTGAACGTCGATGGTGTTAAGGGGACCGAAGTGGCCACGAACGCGGCCACATTCATCTTCGAAAACCTGAGTAATAAGATTATTAGTATGTGGCAAGTTTAATCGTTTGAACGCATATTGTACTCACTCTGTGGTAGAAACGAGCTTCGAATTTACCCTGGCGGGCAGAGGTGGTGGTGACATCCATGGCGGCTTGACCACCACCCAGAATCACGAAGTCCTTCTTGGGTGTCACGCTAGCAGTGTTGAGAGGAGTGTCGGAGATATAGGTTTTGAGAATGGCGAGGTTGCGGGAGGACAGGAGCTGCATATTATTAGCCCGGATTGCCTTGTATAATGATCTGCAAAAAGACATACCTTGGCTGACTTGTCTTTCGAGGCGGTAATGAAAGACAGACGATCGGGGGCGAACTGGATGTCGGTTATTTGGCTATCGAATTCGTGGATTTGCACGTTCTCGACTTGTTCTCCAGACTAGAGATGGCATTAGCATTCCACGCTCCCCAAGCCACCTGAAATCATCCCCCCAAAAAACATACCTTAGGATCGTACTGGCTGACACTGCCGTCCTCGTGCCCCGCAATGATGTACTTGGACAGGAAACTCCACCCCGCCACGGTGGCCTTGCTCTCCTCGCAAACGATGGTCAAGGTAGGCTCGGTGGCCTGCGCGCTAAGGTTTTCGCCGTAGTTGATATCGAGAACCGCGATAGTACCATTGAAACCCATGCGCTTTTCCGTCACTGCCAAAAGTCTGCTTCCATCGGGGGAGAATGCCACGCGCTTGACGGCTGTCGAGAATTCCCACACCTTCACACACTCGCCGGTCTTGATGTTCCATAGACGCACGGTGTTGTCTGCTGATCCGGTTGCAAGAAGAATGGTGTTGGGGCTGACGTCGACTGTCCAGACAGCACCCTGGTGGCCGTTGTAGGTACCGAGACGCTCGCCGTTGGCGGACCACCATGCGCACACAATCTTATCCTTCGAGACGGAGAAGAGGAGATCGCCATCGCTGTTGAACTTGATCTGGGTCAGGGACCGCTCCTGTTGTTATAGTTGGCTGCGGTCAGTCTCTGTGGATCCAGCAAGATTTCGAGGAAGTCAACGCACATGGCCGGAAAGCAAAATAGGCCGCATTTCGAAGGGTGAGGTGATTAGGAAATTCGAGATGGAGTATCGGAGGGGAAAAATCTGAGACGCTCGGCTCAGAAGGGGTAAGGCGGAGTGGCTTTTTTGGGGGGGTCAACCTCGTCAACCTCACTTTCTTTGACTAGTGAATTTCATCGCACACTCGGCCCTCAATGCCAAGCCTCAATCGGAGGCGACGATATTCCGTACTCCGATATCTACACGTGACTGATATCTCGCGACCCCTAAGCCCTAACTGGCAGCCCCGAACAGGTTAATGCGTCCCGGATGACTCATGCGGGCTCAGATAGGAAATAATGCCTCAGGCAGAAATCAGGAGATGGCCGGGAAACTCCCCGACTCTCCGCATGAGCTTAATTACAGACAAAAGAAGAGATGAGGTGAATGTGAGGGGAATATCTCGAAATTGAAAGGATTGGCTTGACTTCTGTATATCTCCGGAGCAGTGCATGTGAAATCAAGGCCTAAATTGGTTGATATCGTTTGCAACGCCGGTACCAATTCCGAGGGTTCGCCCCAAACAAGCAATAATTCATGCCATTCGTCCCCGCTGCCCTACCCCGCTGCACTTTTTATCTCCAAGTGCATGCGGGCACTCGTCTCCGAAATCTTTTTCTCCTATCTCGTTCTGTTTCCTATAACTATTCCCCTGTCCAAGGAG